TAATGTTTCGGAGATTTTTATAATGACGAAAATTGTCCTCTGATTTAGTTTGCTTGTATTTCAGTTTTGCTTTGTCTCTGAGGTTCATTAATTCTCTGAGATTATCGTTCAACCATTAATTTTACTAACCCCATTGGGGCATGACGATCAATTACTGTTAGGATAGATTCATTGAGTATTTTCAATTTTTCATCTATATTTCTGGTATAATATATTCCATGTAAATTCATTTTCTCTAGGTCGGAGCAAACCTTATTCGTATCAACTTTTTTAAAGATTCTACAGTATTTCATGACAGGTTCCAGCTTTGACATACCAAGATCTGCAAAAACCGCATCGTGTTCCGATATATCATAAACTATGACTCTAGAATTGGATATAAGTTGTGTTCGTGTAACCATTATTAAATCTATCAGTGTCGAACTTTTCTCAAACACTCTTGTTGGTGAGTTTATGATTTGCGATAGCTCGTGATCGCTCATAAAATTTTCTAAATACTTGCTTGAATAATTATTAGGATTGTAAACATCCACAAATAATATTATCAAACATTCATCGAAGAAGGAAGCAATATCTGAGCTAGGTGGGCGATAGGTTACACCACAGATGAAGTTCACAGACGTCATTTGAACTATTAACCGTAACTGCTCAATTTTTGTAGAGGTTTCATTGAGTATGAATTTAATTTTATTGGAAATATAGATGCCTATCCCGCCACCACGCGAACACCTATCTTTTCTTAAGAACTCATACCCGCTAATCGTAACTGCCGACATTTTTACTTACTCATCCAACCCTGTCTCGCTAATAGCAATAATATCACATTTATTTGTTAGGATCAAATTCTTGAAATCAGTGAATTTACCCAAAATACAACGAACATTTAAGTGCACTATTCTAATATTATTCTGTATCATATTTTAATAATAACTAAAGAAACAATATAAATATCAGGTATAGTCTATCCATTCCCAATTGGAACGGCAATCAAAATAAGAGCACTACGAGGGGTGTTCATAATCACTGCCTGGCAAATGGGAAATGTATATACTACCAGTGCTTTAATGTTCAATGCGTCCTTGGTACTGTCATAAACATTTCTTGTCTGTGGCCCCTAGTCGCCCAGATAGTTAGTAAACGTGCTATCAAATGTAGTTGCAATATTTCTTTATCAGTGCCGTGTGTTCGTGGGGTTAGGTGAGGTAGTGAGTGGTTTTACAAACCGATTTTTGAAAAAAATTTCTAGAGATCAATTACCCTAACAGCAAACTGATATTTTTGCACTCGGCGCGCGTTTCGCTAACAAGGTTAGCATCTTCAGGAGAAGCAAATTGATACTGAATCTAAAGACAAGGGTTAGCTGTTTATATACCTAACATTTTTTGGTCCTATGTGGACTTTGTTAAATGATGATCATCCTAATTGATTTTTCGGTAATTAACTAGTGGAACCACTACCTGCAAATTAATTCGTCAACAATAGATTAAAGAGCGGACTTTAGATTCAGTATCAATTTGCTTCTCCTGTGCTAACCTTGTTACCGAAACGCGCGTCGCGTGCAAAAATATCAGTTTGGTGTTGGGGTAATTGATCTCTAGAAAAAGTTTTCAACTTTTACACCAAAGGTTCCAATCTCATCGTTCAAACCGATTATTGTGAAAATCTTAGTGTCTTTGGGTACTTTCATCAATGGCTTTCTGGAGACCTTTTGAAACAAATGATAACATTACGTGTGAGCAATATGTGTAAGGTCAGGTAATGTAAGATGTCAAATTTTCAGAAAAATCATACGTTGCGTTTACCATAAACGTCTAACCTAACATCGACCGTGAGTCACGCTGTATACAGAGTGTAAAATAGCGATTCTAGTTCTATCAATAAAATCTTTAATAATACAATTACATGATATGGGTAATAATTCCCCGCCTGTAGCTTTACTGATCCCTATAAAATTCCTGTCATTTATAAATAATTTATACCACCAATTAGTTCATTATTGTACACAGATGGGTTCAACCAAGTCTCTGTAAGAGCAGCTAGATCAAAAGCCAACATACTCATACTATTGAAACAATCAGTTAACATTTTCACTTTATTATTACTGGATAGCATTAAGACTATTTGCTGATTCTATCGTATAGGGACACTTTCGAATTATCACTTTTTTCATGAAAATTTTTCCACATTTGACCCACAGACACTTCATATAATTTTCTTTCTGACCAATTTTTGAATAATACTCCAATAGCCTTCATTAACACAAACGGATTTTGAGTTAGTTGACTCTATTTTGGAAAGACATTTTTCATCTCCTGAGCAAAAATATATTTTACTGTTAGAACATCTTTTGCTCGCCTGACCTTGAAAAATCCATCTTTTTCTCAATCTGTAGAGAATTTATAAACATATGGACCTTTCATTATGAGTATTGAGATATCTGAGGTCCACATCAATTATTTGAAGTAATAATACAAAAAATACCATATGTGTTCCCTATTATTGAATTCCAATGAATTACAGTTATGTTCCTATAAATAATTTAATATAGGGGTTGTTTTTAGCTGATCCTACTATTGAGAAAACAAATGCTTCTAAAAAATCAAATATCACTCCAAAACAGTTGTTAGTTATATTTTTGACGTGTCTATTCTAAATTATAAAAATTCGTTATTTAAAATTTTCCAAATAATCTATTTGAGAAAAATTCATATTGAAAAATATGTAAAATACTGATGAACAAAACGAAATTACATCAAAATATGTACATTATTTTCTATAAAAATTATTTTTCAAACAATTTTTGTTTACTATAACAAAGAATATTGATCTCTAATTTTTTTATACATCTTTCTGACAGAGAATTGTATAACTTGAATACATACATATTGAATACAGGCTTTCACAACAGGAGTAACGATTAAAAAGAACAAAAGCTGGGTTGTTGAACAATGATCGAAAGTAAGTAATCAAATGTTTAATCTACTACCAAGGCAGATATCTTCAGTGGTGTAAGTATTGACTGTGAGGACGAAGACAGTATTTTGAAGTATGGGCAATGACGAAAACTTTGACATAGCAGAAAAAATGTTTGGTTCTACCACGGCCTACCAGCCTTGATTTTTTTCATTTCCAATATTTTTGTTATGATACATAGCTGAATGTTTCATAACAGTGGCTATTAAAATTGATGGAAAAAAACTAGATTTCCATAAATTGAAAAAAAGTTGATGAAATTCAATGAACAGATTGTTGCATCGAACAATTGGTTCATACTAGATCATAAGAACATGAAATGGCACAAAAAAGTGTCCCTGCCTTATTTCACAATATTTGAAATGAAGGTGGTATAGCCAACAAATGAAATAAAGCAATTTGTTACAATAATTACAACAAAGCAATAATTACAAAAATGACCATTGATGATAACTTACTGAAAAAACAATTTATATTGTTCCGCAAATAGGCAACATTTTTCTAATTTAACCAACCTTCCAAGTCCTACCATTTCCAAAATAGCAATAATACAATCAGCTAAAAAAAGCGGTCTATATAAATCAGAACTGAATTCTAGTTTTTTTTTTCTGGAAGAAGCAATCATCTTAATATAAGGAAAAGTGAACCAAGTCAGGTGTTGTTTGAAAAACTTGAATATTCAAATTTTGTACTTACATCTGATATACCTTTGGGACAATAGAAGAATATACATGTGTTATCACTTTGTGCATCCATATAAGTCCACAAACTAATGAAAATTACACAATGTAGCTACAGCTCTGAACAACCAAACTTTTTAATGAAGAATTGCATTTATTTTTGGAATTCACTAATAGTTGAAGGCTTCCATTAATATTTTGGGTCAAATTCATATTGTTAGTCAACACTAAGTATTTGGTAAAAACATATTTTATATTCATTTTTTCTATCAATTTAAAATTTCTAGTATACAGAACATTATACAGAGGCATTCTCAATTTGAAGTTGAACTTTATAATTACAATTTTAAATTTACTTACTGTGAAGTATGAAGTGCATAAAAGTTCATTTGTTGTGAAAACAACTATTTGTGTGGCATAAAAGAATTGAAACCATAGAAACTTCTCAATAAACAATAAAGCCAAAAGTTCTCAAAATAAAAGAAATTGTTCAAAACTCACATTTGTTCAGTTATCATCTAAATAAGAACCCTCTCTGATTAAACACAAAAATTACACGTTGTCTACCTTTTTCACCAAAGAAGAAAAGAACGGTATAAAACAAAATTTGTTTTATAATATATTTTGTTGATGATACATATATACTCTTTTATTGTCCAAACTGTATTTTTGAAGAATTGAATTTATTAGAAATCATAGAACACATTATTAGTCAATACCATGAACAGTACATATCAACATTCAGGTAAATCTGGATGAACAAATGCAGGCTTTGGTGTTGCTAGTTTCTGCTTAACTACATATCCACTTAAAACCTCTGCTACTTTTTGCGGTTGATCTTCATGTATAGCATGACCAGATTTCGCTAATACCCTCATCTGAAACTTTCCTTGCATTTGTCCAACAGTTAAAGCTGTATCAAGTCCATGAATATTAGCCAGAAGCAACAATTTAGGAGCATGAATATCCAGAAATTTTTGTGACAGGCCTTTAAACCATCCAGTCCAAAACTTTTCAGTTTTGCTAAGATCGATTCTCCATTTGAAGATCATTCCATTATCTTCTAGTTTGATGATATTTGGATCTTTGAAAGTATTGGTCTTTTGAGATTTAGGGAGAGGGGGTTTTCCACAGTCAGTACACTTATCAGATTGTTCACTTTCTTCCAACTCTTCCTCTACTTCTGCAATGGTATATGATGATGCTACTAAATCATCACTATGAGAAGGTGATTCGTCTACAGTTGACAAACCCGCATTGTCACACTCATCGGCTGCCAATTTCCCTGTCTTCGTATTAAGAACTTGACCTGGCATAGATACTCTAGCAGCTTCTAAGTTATGAGTTTGCCCACCTTTGTAACACCACTGTATGGCATGAGGGAGACTTTTAAAATGTGAGGGCCTACCTCTTAGAATACTTTGCATAGAAGATAATGCATCAAGTGCGGTTCCTTCAACTACATCAATAACACAAAGTCCCAGAATTGAATCTAATTTCCGAGCTGTTTCAACTGCTATTGCTCCACCCATACTGTGACCCATTAAAATAATTGGCTGCCCAGTTTTCTCAGACAATTTATTGGCTACTTCAATAACATCATTTGCCATTACTTCTAAAGAAAGATCGGCATCATTGGATGTGGTAGTTTTCCCATGACCTCTTAAATCAACTGCCTTTACTTGACAGTCTATTAGTTTCACTATTTCAGCAGCAAATAATGACCATGTCAACCCAGAATATCCACCACCATGGAGACACAATAAAATAGGACCATCTGTACCTCTACCATAAACATGAAAAACACCATCTGTGGTCTGAATTCCTTCTTCTTCACTGAAGTACTCTGACCATTTTATTGGTGAAAAATTTTGCATGGAGGTCTTTACGATTCCTGTCCGTTTACCAGGGAAACGTAATATATTTCTCCTTAAGTCAGACATGACATATTATTGAAAGATCCTCTCGAATTTTATGACCAAGAAGTAGAGATCTAACCTAAAAAATTAAAAATACTTTTATAACTGATACTATTTTATTAATATACCATTGAAATAAAAATAAAGCAGATTATTAAAAAAATTATACCAGGGTTCTTTCAAGCCGGATTTCATATATTAATTAATCCCAAAATATACACATATCTGTCTTTTATAGTTTTGTTAACCTCGCATAAATCATGACAGGGTTGCCATGCGATATTTTCGTATGAGAATAATTTAGTAATGAATAGGGGCCACGCATATGTCAGTTTTAAAATATTTTGATTTCAAACTATGAAAACTAGTTGAAATTACAAATAAAATTTCAATATTTTCATAATAAATAAATGAAAAGAAAAATTTTTGACTCGACAAAAATGTACCCCTGTTCTGGATATATGGAACACGGTTCCCTGAAAACTGGTGAACCAACCGTAAAAATACTAACCGATAGTTTTTCGTGGTGAAAGTGACAAATTGGCAGATAACGAGTTTGGACTTGAAATATTTCGATGGGCGATTACGAAAAGGTACCTAGGCCACAATAAAGCTCAAACCAGTAGTGTCATTCTTGTCGAAACCTTTGGTGTTTGTGTCTCACTGACACAGTTTCAGTTTATTAGGACCACGTGTGGATTTGTCAGCGTTTGATATTTTATACACTGCTCAACAAGTGAATAATAGATATAAACTACTCGACAGTAAAACACATTTCATGGAAAATTAAATGGGTGTTTCCTAATAATGTAGAATATTATAATACGCTTTGAATTTTTCATTCGAATTGTTCCACGTTTTTACTCCTTCCTTGTCTGTTTGGTTCAAATTTTGCAATCGATTTGAAAATAAGTTATTGGGGAGCTAAAGGGACTTGCAACTTCAAACAGAACTCAGAAATGGATAAAATACAATTTTTTTTGCATACTGTATGAATAATATGAAACGTATAAAATCATGTCGGAAAGTTTCTGACGAATGAAGATAATTGATTTGCTTGTCCTACCCAGCTGGTTGTCTTGAGATGCAACAACATTGAAACATACATGTACGCAGGTGGTTATTGTCAACTGAATAAAGAATCATACTTATTGCTTTGTCACCAGTACCACCGCAAGTGTTGTCCTTGAAGAACATTGCACAAATAGATGCCGAATTTGCCGGCAGGTGGACAACTTGCAGGTATCGAAACAAAATTTTGCTAGTTGGTTGTTTGCTAGGATGCCTTTGTAACTTGATTCCTGTTCTCTGAGGAACATTGCAAAAGGATATTTGAAGTGAAACTTCTGTAAGTGCGCTTGATTTGGGGAGTGAGCTGGTGAATGCGTGATGAGACCATTGCGAAAGTTCGTCTCGCCCAAAGATTAACTTAGAGAAGATAGAAAAAGAGAGTTACGTTTTGTAAATTACTGTAGGGGCAAGAGAGAGAGGTGCGAGCACACATTTACGGTCGAGTAAGCTCTGAAGAATTAGGAGAAAACTATCATACGTTGCCATTAATTTCAGCAGGAGATTTCAATGTTAATTTCGCGTCCAGAGATGCATAACTTTTAGTAAACAACAATCGATGCAGATATCTTTCTAATTTTTATTCGAAAACATATGTATTCCACCAATTGAGAATGAAAAATTTGTAGGTACTTAAATAAACTCAATCTTGAACAATCCGTAAACAATTGAATATATGTCTGATTTCTACTGCGATTTTTATTTTTCACGACCGGTTTTGGTTCGTTAAACCATATTCAAGTAACCTGGAGTATGTTTCACAAACAAGTTCCCAAATATACAATGAAATAGTTAAGGTGCTTTTGGTACCTGCAACAGGTACCTGGCAATAGCAAAATGTTACCTGAATTATCGATACAATACCAAAACAATAATCAATACCAATCAATCAATCAATACCAAAACAATTACCCAATATTGATCACAAAAACTATAGTACTTGTGGATTGGTACAACTACCAATGAATCCTAAAAAGTAAATACATATTCATTAGGTTTGAAAATTGTAATCCTTTAAAATTGACGACTAGACACATTGAAACAGTAAAAAAAAAGACTTTGGATTCATGTAACAATTCAATTCGATGACTTTGTTTTCGAATGGGTACCGAAGTGCTTCTGCATGTGATCACGCCTGGTGAAGCGTTTGCCACATTCGTTACAAATAAAAGGCTTAACTCCGCCGTGTATGTACAGATGCCGCTTTAAATCGCCTTTATAATGAAAGCCTTTTGGACAGTATTCACATTGAAACTCTTTGTTCGAAACATGGCGTCCAAAATGCGTTTTCAGGAGCTCGGCGGTCAAAAACCTCTTTCCACATTTGCTGCATTTGAAATGTCTTGCTTCCCCATGAATTGAATTCATATGCTGTTGGAGATAACAAGATCGCCTGAAACACCTATTGCAGATTGAACATCTGAATTTGGGGATTTCAGTGTCGTTTTCAGCATTAACTCCACCTTTTCGATTCATGTCTCCGAAACTGCGGGGGATCTCGACTCCTGAACTTGACCCATCTTCTTTATTATCCAAGAAACGACTTATTTGTTGTTGGGCTTCACGTTGTATTATTTCGACTTTGTTTTCCACCAAACGAAAATGATCCTCATCGAAACAATCCTGACCGATGACAATTTCTTGCCCATTGTTTCTTTCTTCAACGTGGTTCGGAGTCCTCTCCTGATTGATATCATCATATCCCACGAAGGGATTTGTTTGCTGATCAGCAGATTTCGAAATTCGCTCACCGTCCTCAGTTTCATTCGCGTTCGCGTCCTCCATCATATCAGGCTCATGTTCCATAAACGTTTGATAAAAATATGCTGCCGTTGCTTCAAAGGGAACTTTCTCAGAGTTCTGTTCTGATTGTTCAATGGCATTAACACCTTCTTGATCACACTGAAAATGACAGTCATTCAGTTCTCCAAGGAATTGATTAACTTCCCCTGAATTTATTTGGTCGTTTTGTGAATTACCGATTGCTAATGATGCCAAACCGTCTTCTTGTAAAGAAATTTTCGGAATTTGCTGACTGTCCTCAGTTTCTTTCTGAGGATTGATCGGTTTCGCGTCTTCCATCATACCAATATCCTGTTCCATAAACGTTTGATAATAATATGCTGCCGTTGCTTCAAAGGGAATTTTCTCAGAGTGCTGTTCTGATTGTTCAACGGCATTAACTTCTTTTTGATCACACTGAAAATGACAGTCATTCAGTTCTCCAACGAATTGATTAACTTCCCCTNACATACACACACAAAATCTCATATGAAAAAAAAATCTGAACGATCCATGCACCAGACACTTCAAGGTCACAACGCCTTGACTTCACTGCACAACAGAAAAAGCAAATAACACGTCATATTGGTGGGGGAAGGATTAGAACCGGGAAAAAATTTCTGAACGATCAATACACTACACCCTTCAAGGTCATATCACCTTGACTTCACCAAACAACAACCAATGAAAAAGCAATTAATACGTCATAGTGGTGGGGGGAGGCCAAGAATCAGCTGTAAACAACTACTGATTCAGTTAAGAAATTATCATTCGAGGACTTTCTTTTCGAATGAAAACCGAAGTGCTTCTTCATATCTCTCAATAATATCATAAAAATCGCTTGGCTCAACATTTCGCATCTCACGTGAGAGTATGTAAAGTAAATGCATATTGAATCAGTTTGGAAAATTTTATTTCTCTATTATTGACGACCAGATACATTGAAACAGGTAAAGAAATCGACTTAGGTAACAGTCATATCTGAGGAGTTGGGATCCGTCGATGTCAGGAATGCTCATTAAACTTATTTCTTTATGAAAAGTTGCATAACGAAAGGGAACTGAAGTGCCCCTACATATTAAATCTCAATAATATCATCTAGAGTCGCTTGTTTCAACATATCATACATACAATTATATAAAGTTGAGTCGCTTCGCTCAGCATTTCATGTATACAGGGCCCTGCAACAGGGCGAAAATTTTGACGGTTTTCGAGATATCTAGCATGATAGGTTTTTTCCAATATTCGTCACTCAGAATATTTGGTAATATTCCCAGGCCAACCAGGACCGGAGTGATGAGTGGAGCGATACTACGTTAGCTTTATTCCCTCTGAGTGCAATCAAATGTTCATCAGGCTGAACCATGTAGTGTACACTTCAGGCAAATGAGCCCTATTGGAACCATAATACCAAAAAATACCCTTGAAATGTAGACGAGTGGTTAAACCAAAGCTTGGGAGATAACCAACCAGAACAGAAACTGTGACAATTTCCCGGGTGAAAACCCTCCGTGTACAACAACCCTATAAATGTTTTTTTTAGAAACTGTCCTATATTGTCGCTAGCAAGAGAGCAATGAAAAGAAAAGTAGAAAAAATCACCTTCCGTGAAGGGTTTTATCTTGTAGCAAAAAGGCGTTGGCGTGGTACCAATTATTCAAACACCAAATTGATCCACTAAGGATCATTCAACAAATTCGGGCTTCGTCAGCCGTTTAGTAAAAAAAAGTTTATTTAGTTTGTTACTCTCGTTTTCAGAGCAGTGGTGCTGGTTTTGACGTGCCTGTACAAAGTTGCATAGGCCAAATCATACTTTTTAGCTGTGCTTTTTATGGATTCGCCAGCTTTGCACAAATTGATAGCTGTTTTCATGACATTCTCATCCCACGACCCTTGTTTAGTTTTTTTGTTATATTTATTAACGATCTGAAACAAATGAACAACATGATGAAATTACAAGTCAATAATAAGGAATAGCGGGCAAAGTGGATACCATATTCACTTTGCTCTATTCTCTTTGCCCGACTAGGTAACTTTTGAGGTTAACAAATTTTGTACGAAAACGAATAATTCTAAACTTCTGTGAAAGATACAATAAAAACCTACTTTGACATGGTACTGAATTGAAATATTTCTAAAGATCAAGAACTAACAGCACTGGAAATAAAATCAATATACTTACCTCGTAAACTCAACCTTTTTTCACAAAAACACAAATCTCCACTCTGCGGCCGGCAAGCGACGCGGCCTCATGCTTTAGTATTTGCCGCGCACTAAATCAAGATGGCGGAATGTCACTACGGTGGTATGATGACAGTCGAATGAATAATATAGAAGTAGTGGGGAGTATTCGCTTTGCCTGGGGTGTTCACGTTGCCCGGCCTTCCCCTACGTCTTCATATGATCTCTCTATAATATCATAAAAGTCGCTTGGCTCAACATTTCATAAATACAATGATTTTGTGATTCAAATAATTAGAGAACTATAACGCATCTCATGTGAAATTAGGTAGAGTAAATACATATTCATTAGGGTGGAAAATTGTAATCCTTTAACATTGAAACAGTTAAAAAAAAAAGACTTTGGATTCATGTAACAATTCAATTCGATGACTTTGTTTCCGAATGGGTACCGAAGTGCTTCTGCATGTGATCATGCTTGGTGAAGCGTTTGCCACATTCGTTACAAATAAAAGGCTTAACTCCGCCGTGTATGTACAGATGCCGCTTTAAATCGCCTTCATAATGAAAGCCTTTTGGACAGTGTTCACATTGAAACTCTTTGTTCGAAACATGGTGTCCAAAATGCGTTTTCAGGAGCTCGGCGGTCAAAAACCTCTTTCCACATTTGCTGCATTTAAAATGTCTTGCTTCCCCCTGAATTGAATTCATATGCTGTTGGAGATGACAAGATCGCCTGAAACACCTATTGCAGATTGAACATGTGAATTTGGGGATTTCAGTGTCGTTTTCAGCATTAACTCCACCTTTTCGATTCATGTCTCCGAAACTGCGGGGGATCTCGACTCCTGAACTTGACCCATCTTCTTTATTATCCAAGAAACGACTTATTTGTTGTTGGGCTTCACGTTGTATTATTTCGACTTTGTTTTCCACCAAACGAAAATGATCCTCATCGAAACAATCCTGACCGATGACAATTTCTTGCCCATTCATAGATTGCGAATAATGAGTACAAGAAACATATATAGGTGAGTATTGCTACGTGTTGGATAATCATGAATTTCACTAATGTATGTGATGAACTTATTGAAGTAAGAAGGTGCTTCACAAAATACAATTTTGAAGATGAAACTCAGCCTTACAAACTACGAAATGTAACATCGGGGTTTTTTGCGGTAAAAACATATAAGAAAATTACTTCAACAAAACGAAGTATAAGAATATTTTGTAAAACTACTTCTCACCAACCCCCACCCGCAGCCTTACAAACTACGGAATGTGTCATCATGGTTCTTTTGAAACGCGTTATTCAAATTTTTGGAGAAACTTTTCCCCACCAACTTTCAACTGAGGTCTTGCAAACTACATGGAATGTATCGCTAGGGTTCTTTTTTGCGATAAAACATATACTGAAACTAGAATCAGCGTCCGATCTAGTTACTGATGTATTTCTATCTTTGTAGGTTCTGGATGTATCTGAAAAGTCAGAATCTTCATTTTGAAAATATGCGGATCCCTTACGAATCAATATTTCGCGATTTTCTTCTGTAAAATTTTCAAAAAAATAATCAGCGAGATCGCGTGATATTTCTTCCGGGTTGGAAAACTGTCGTTGTTTGACTGACACAGTTGTCGCTGTTTGTGAAATCACCGAATTTGTTGCTCTTTCGTCATAGGGACGGTCGCTTTCTGATTCAATGTCTTTTCCAAAGTTGGTAGAAATTATTGAAGAATGAGGATTTAGAAATTAGCGCAATTTGTGAACGACACGACTCATCATGTGGAAGGTTTTTGGTTTGGTTGCTACTTACAGAAGTCTCTCTATTAGTAGTAGTAAAATATGATGTTAATTTTGGTAACTTTTCAATTACTTTCTTCTGATGTACAGCTTTTTCCCTTTTTTCAGATCCACTAGGATAGGACTTTTCTAGTTATTTAGTCTCTTCAACAAATGAGAAATGAAACTTTCTGTTTTCAACCACTTTTATTTGTAATTACTTTACTACAGTTTCGTCCTATAAGGGTATTTTCAAACTATTATTATTTATTGTAATAGTTTGAAAATGTCATAGGACGAAACTGCAGTGACGTTAGTTACAAATAAAAGTGGTAAAAAACATAAAAAGTTTAATTTCTCATTTTCATGATGATCTCCTACTACGTAGTAACAACCACATCCATTAATTTATGCTTCATTTTCTTTGACTGATATTTAAATTTGAATAAAAAGTTAGTAAAAACTTATTCTGCCTCCATGATTATTTTTCATGTACAAGTGTTCAAAAAAACCAATGTCACACAAGTAACTCGTAACAAATGATATCAAAAATAGCAGAGCTTGTCAGAAGATCAAAGAGCACTTGGTTTTATATCCGACCCAGAAGTTAAAATTGAAGGTTTCTCTAAAAAATAATCTTTCATGGAACTATCTTCTGTAAACTTTTAGTTCCAATTCATTTGGTGAGATTCCGATAAAATATTTCTGATCCAGTCCACTTTTGAATAATCTTCAGAGAAATACTTCCTAAAGCTTTTTGAATGCCTTCAGCGCCCGATCTAGGGAGGGGGGCAAACCGGACAATTGCCCGGGCGGCAAAAATAGGTTAAAATTATACCATCTATTGAATAACACATGGGTAAAAGGCAGCAAATATAATTTTGCCCGGAGCGGCAAAATAACTGGATCGGGCGCTGAATGCCTTCCAAGTGAACAATGATATCTGCAACCATATCTGTCATTGAAGATATTTCATTTTCTTCAAAAACTGATGATAAGAGTGGAAAATGCAGATAAATTCTCCTATTGTATTTGTGAACATAAAAAGGACCAACTTTTTCTTGAAGGAGTTCATTTTGTCACTGGATGTGAAGGCTGTTGTGTTTGGTCCCTGAAGTACCAAGTTCAGTATGTTGAGTTTGTCAAAAATGTCGGTTAGATAAGCCAGTCTTGACAACCATTCTTCATCAGCAAATGTTTTCATGTTATGATTTTTTCCAGTTAAAAACATAAGAACTTCTGATCCTAATAATGTACGTGATTGTGCTGAGTTTTCAACATAAAGTGGTGATATGGTTTTCCCATGAAATTTTCGTATCAAGCACAACACCTAAGTACTTTTGCATTTAGGAGCAATTTCCCTTATTTTTGCTGCAAGCCTTGGCATTCAACCTGACATAGCTTTTGCCCTATCTGTACACAAGTCAATACACTAGGACCAGGGAATGCCCACTTTGAGCACATATTCAACAATTACCTTAAAAATGAGTTCTGCTGTGGTATTTGATTCGAATGGTTTTCAGAACAAAAACTCTTCTACCACCTCTTCATTATAATCAAATTGCAGGAAAACAAGTAGCTCCACCATGTTTGTCACATTGGTGCTCTCGTTAACCTGAAGTGCAAAATAAGTGCATTCTTGATATTTAAAAGCCAGTTTTTCTTCAATATAATTAGACATATCGACAATTCGTCTCTTTACTGTCTTATTTGACAGTGGTATTTTTGTAATTTCTTTGGTTGCCTTTTCTCCTAAAACGGCTTGCACCATATGCACAGCAGCTGGCAGTAAAACCGTCTCACTGATTGTGTGCAGGTTTCCATCTTTTGCGATTCTTAAACTAGTATCGGTATTCACAAACTAGTATCGGTATTGACAAACTTTGTCTTTCTTGAAAAAAAAAGATTTTTCTGTTAAAAAATGCAATAGGCTTACCAATCAAATCAGAGTGCTTAGTAGTGGGATGTCGCATCAGTAAAAAAGGCTTCATGCTTTGGTTCAAAAGTGTTTTAAGACATATAACACATTGAGGAATAGGAATAATAGGGATGGGATGTCACTGGTTTCAGTCCCTGGCTTTACTATAAAACCATACTGTAAGTAGCTTTCATCATATTTACAATTGACCAGTGATTTAGGTTTTTTTAGCACAACCCTTTGAAGTAGAAGAGGACGTCAGAAATTGTTTCATAGTTCAGTTTTCTTATACAAAATCACAATTAAATATTACAACACCCACAATGGACCACTACAACAACATTAAACATTGCACAATCACTGGCAATATTGTGAGGCCGAAGAATGTTGGCGTGGGGGGAAGTGGAGAGCACAGCTCTCTTCACATTACGTCGGGCGCCATCACTCCTCACCTGTACTACCTGAAACACTCACCTACACGTACCACCAGTGGTAAGCATAATGCGGATTGGGAACCCGTGGTGTAAATAAACCTTCAATTATAAAAACCTGCAGACCATGGCTAACAAACCTGGTAAATAGATTCGGCACAGTTATCTCCAGCTGTGAAAGCTTTCTTCTTATCTCATTCATTTCAGTCGTTTTCTTTCAGGTAACTGATATTCTTTGTTGAATTCAAAGTCAACACCCAGAAAAGTACAAATGATATGAAAAATATATTACCAATATGAGGTATGACACCTTGAATCACATTCCAATTATATCCATGAAAAAAATTATTATTTCTATAGTTTTTTACGACAATGGTCCCCATGAATTTGGGAGATTCAGAATAATTCCAGATATTTCATTAGAACAATGTTTAGTTTTCAATGATTTGGATTACAGTATCATTTCTAAGTATACAAGTACAAGTTCAGAAAGTATTATGACTAGGACAGTATTATTATTATTGTGAGAGAGTTGGATAAAACTATTCTTCTGTAATTAAAGAATTTTCCAGAAGAGAAACTTCAGTATCCAGATCAGCAAATAATATCTTTATAGTCGAAATGATCTCATTGTAATTTCGCAAAGATTTCAATACATTCTGAGTAACTTCTTGGCATTCAGAATATGTATTCATATTACCAACTGCCAGCTGCTCTATATTTCCTGATAGTTCAGTTACTTTCGCTATGTTCTCAGAATCAATGAAGGGTAACAGTGACTCTAAAGTTCCAATCTTCTGTACAGTATCTTTCAATTCCGAGTATAATTGGAGTAAGTGATACCTCTTAGTTTCAGCTTCTAGCTCATCTACTCCAAGGTTTGGATCTAGATATTCATTTATAATAGACAAATGGTGAAGCATGGAACTAATTACTTCTCTGCAACTTAAAGCTGAAGTAATCATTGCATGAGTTTCCAAAAGTAAACTAGTAACATTTTTAGTATTTGTAGTTGGTAATTTATCTCCGAAAATCTGAATTTCCAGATTTTCAATACGGCTCTCTAACAAGTTTATTGGATCCATCTAAAACAAATAAATAATATTTTACACGAGGTAATATTCTATTAATATTGATCAAGATTTTACCAGAAAAATTACACGCAATAAAGTAACACAAATACAAAATAAAATTTCCACTTCTTTACCACTAGACTCACCAGAGTGACACCTGCACCACCTGACAGTACTGACAACTGACAACTGACAGTACTGAGTTCTTAAACTTATCTGTCAGCACCTGATCCGATAGAATCATCTATTAGGGCATTTCTAATGGTAGAAAAAATCCACATGATTTTTTTCTGTTGAATTTAAGAACTTGCCTAGTGACTTACTGATCTAGCACAACACCAGTACTGCCAATAGGTGTGTTTCTCAAAGACGTCTCGATTGGCGTTTGATATAAGATAAGAATATTTATTAACCAATCATGATACACTTAGTATACTTGAATGTGACCGATGCCTTCCACGTCGGTTACAACTGATGTTTGAGGTACGATGATTCTTCGGTCAAGATTGTGTAGGATGAATACGTGCTGAAACCTCAGAGGTGTTTTCTGGCGTTTGATCGTATTAAAGCGTGTATTCAAAAACGATTCGTAATGACGTTATTAATAATGAGATTCGCCAGAATAAAATTACTCAGATTCAAATACAATATTAAAAACAACCTCTAACCTCAATTAGAATCGAATTTGTAACGTAACGTCAAAATCCGTTTCAAAACCAATCTCTCGCTAGTTTTGAATCATCATCCGTGCGTTCCACTAAGCCAGAGGTTCTCAAATTTATTTTGCCTACCGCCCACTTCAAGAATCAATTCTTTTCTAGCCCCCCCATTTTTTTACTTTACTACATCTCAAGAATCACAATCGCAGTCATTATTTTAATAATTAAATTATTTGTGTCATGTGAAAATAAGACTTTCTGATGAGGGTAATGTAAAACTCCATTTTGTAATATTAGGTAAAGTTTTATTCATATTAAACGAACATTTCAATTTGAATTTTGAAACTAATCTGATGTGAAACATGAGTTTGATGATTTTTTACAAGTTTGTCAATGTCAGGCTCGAATTTACTCAAAAACAGCCGTAAGTCACCGTGTTCGATAATCTGCGACCGATTTCTCTTTTAAGTTAGCAACGTTGCCACAGAACTAAATCCACATTTACACAAATACGATGATGGGAATGCTATCAAAAATCGTTGAACGGTGGACCATAATCCAGGATTGGCTTTTGTAGCCAAAATTCTTCGTATCCCCCCTCACATGCCCCTACCGAGTTGAGTGGTCCGAGTTGAAATCTTCCCCATACGGTTAATGTGTGCAGGACATCCCATCTCGTCCAGAGTCAAATAGATTGTAAAATCGAGTCAGATAATTACCTCTTTATAACCAACGCACTTCTGTGTGAAATACCAACCGGTTGAAATCTTCATCATTAGCAACACAAAGCTGGTTAAATAATCTGTCATTTAAAGAACTTATTCGGATTTTATTGACTGCTTTGATGATATATTGCAGTGATAGAGAGGGGCACTCATTTCGCCACCAAATGTTGCTTATGAATGACGCAATGTACAGCGAGCACATCAGGAATTTAATTTTTTTAAGTACGCTATGAAGCCTTTGTGACGTTCTGTCATAGCTGAAGCGCCATCCGTAGCAGCTGATATAATATTCTTCAGTAGAATTTCTTTCTCATCACAAAATTTTTCCAGTGTATTATATATAGTTTCTCCTTTTGTATCCATCTCTAAATGTCTGGCAAATAGTACATCTTGATATATTTTCTCATTTTTAATAAACCTCACGTATGACAATAACAAAACTTCCTTGGTTGGTAAAGTGGACTCATTTAGAATTTAGAAGTCTTCAGATGGTTGCACAATGACTCTTCGAAGTTTCCAGCCATCTCATCAATTCGTTTTTGCTCTGCCGCTGGTTTATGGAGCACAGTAGATATTACAGCTGTTATTGCTGGTAAAATTAAATCCTCTCCAATAGTGTGAGGTTTACCTGTTTGAGCAATCAGCAAGGAGATATTGTAGGAAGCTCGAAGTCCGTCGTCGCCTTGCTTAGGAGCCGCTGGAAATAGTTTTGACACAGAGTTGGCTGAGCTGAGTGTTTCTTTTCCAGTTCTTGAAAATAAGTCACACTTTTGTCTTTTTTATCTGATTTTGAATTCTTCATCTCCAATTTCCGTACAAGATATTTTGATTACATGTGATGCACTGTTTGGAACCTTTGGTGTAGTAATGAATATTACTGGATTTTTTTCCCAACACCAATCCGTTATTTTAACACCTTGACACGTATTTCGATCACCAACTTATCATCTTCAATCATACTCACAAAGCTATCCTTATTTATACCATAGATACCTCTTCTAGGTACCTGCGTCTTAAGTGTCTTGAATTGATTTCACAATATCGCCATATCTATTTGTTTTAAATTAATTTTACAATGTGTCCTTATGTAATAGTCAGGTAAATCTAATAAAGCTATGTAGTAAACTATTAGGTATTGGTCCACCATGGTTATTCATAATATTTTTATGTTTACTTATTTCTACACTCTCGTAGGCATCTGGATGCCTGTTGTTGTTAACTTGTCTAACTAATCTTAATGAACTGAAGTCTATGGAATGGTTTTGTTGCAAAATATGATGGGCGACTGCTGATTTTTCAGGTCTTCCATATTTTAAGTGTGCTAAGTGTTCCTTATATCTTATTTCAATAGATATTTTTGTCCGTCCATAATATTTGCCTCGCATTCGTAACATTCAATTTTGTAAATTCCACAGACTTTTCCTAATTCTCGACTTTTGGACTTCCTGAAAGGCTTTGTATGTATGACTTGTTTTAAAAACCACCTCCATACCTAGTTCCTTTGGAAAGATTGAGGTTATCGATGATATATTACAGTGTAATCCTGAATCACAGAATATCGGAACTAGTATTCTAGTAGTATTCTGTGCCCGAATATAATCAAAGTCAATCGAGTGATGACGATTCTCAGTGTACTCCGTGTAGAGGTTTGACTAAGGAAAAATCAGAATTACTGGGTTGTAAACCAAAAGAGAAACATTTTTGGAACCTGGAACATCTAACCTGGAACAGTCTAATGAATGAATTTGGTATTGAATACAAAAAAGAAACATCGATACTTTTTATTGACACATCAAAAACAATCTCGAAAGGTGTGTAATTAACTAACGGAAATACTTATGCTTCAGTGCATGTGACACATAATTCAATATATATGAAGGAAACTTACGATAATTTCAATATATGTAATTTTAGAGAAAATTTACTATACAGCTCATGACTGAATGCTGTGTGGGGATTTAAAAGTTGTCTCCATGCCCCTTGGTTGACAACAGGTGTTCACAAAGTTTCCGTATTTTATATGTGAATGGGACACCAGAGCAAGGGATCAACATTGGTCTCGAAAACAATTACTCTTGCGGAAAACTTAAATTCCTTGCATGAAACATTTTACACGGATTTAAGTTGACCCCAAGAAGATTCTTTCGCCTCCACTTCACATAAAGTTAGGTTTAATTAAATAATTTGTTGAAGTTTCATTAGTTTGGAATTCCATTGTCTGATATGATATAATACGATTTGAAATCCCTGAAAGAACTAGTCATCACCCGAATACGATTGTGGATACTAACAATCGAAACGTCGTGAAGTAACTTGGCCTAAAATTTAATTTTTATTTCATTTTGATTGTTCAATTTTAAATTTTTTGTATGATTTTTATTTGATTGTAATTTCATATCAGGATTTTTTGCTCCAAGTAATTGTCAATTTTGAATGTTCTTTCAGGGATTTCAAATGAAATTCATGAAATGAAACATTGTTAACCGCCTTTGAACAAAATGTGTTAAAGCTTTACCTAAAGATGGTGATTGTTTGAAATACTTGTATACGAAATTTCCGTATTTATCAGAAGATAAGTTGGAAGAAGAGATTTTCGTTGGGCCCGATATCCGTAAATTGATGTTCGATTCGAAACTCCGAAGCAACAATGAATGAAAAGGAACACGAAGCTTCAATATCATTTAAAGAACCCCAAGTTATAATATTAGATTTGATATGACATGTTGAATAATCACGATTTGTTTAGTATTAATTATTTATACCATTCAAGATCAGCAGCCGAGTAAGTACTTACAAATTTCACTTCCACATAGTTTTCGAACTCTTATAATAAGTATAATCTGAAGTATTCATAAAGAATTGATTAGTGAGGCCTGCATGGCTTCAAAATGAGAAAACGACCGTTCTGAAGCTCGTCAAATAAACATTCAAAAGCGATTCTACTCAATACAAAGTTTCTTCGTCTTAACGAGAGTAATTTCGGAAAACTTCTTTTGCTACTCCATATGAATTGGGATGATGTTGATATAATATGTTGCATGTTCTTTTGTGACATTTTCCTCCTGAAGATAATGCTGACTAGCTAAAACCGAAAGTGTTGAAAGTTCCCTCAAAAAGTTTCAAGGTCAAAGTTAAGATCGAGTAAATAATATTGGTTTGGTAAAAAAAATCCTAGAAATTCATGAATAAATTGATAAAGTATAGAACAGAATCTATTGTCGTGAATAAATTCATGAATTTATTCATGAAAATAGATTCTGTTCTGTATTTCATCATGAAGAGATTCATGAATTTATTGCTGAATGTAAAACAGGAAAATTGATAACGATTGCGGCCGTGAAGATATTTACGAATTAATTGTACAATAAATTGATAGATATAGGTAATACTGCTTCAAATAACAACACTGCGCTTGACAATTGACATAACCGTATTATTTCAATATTATATTTTTCAGGTAACCGTTGTCACAAATTTTGGTTAATAGCGTTCTATAAATGGTTATTTTTGGAATATATGCGATGCTATATGCGATGTTTGGCTAAATGCGCCGTACGGAAGCAAAGGCCAAGAAAACCTAGAGAGAGAGATGCTTACTCATTGTCATTTTTGTCAAGTGTCAAGTGAAATGAGTTTGAGTTTTTCTGCAATTTCAATACATTTTAATAGCATTTGAAAATTTAGAAACAATGGAGGCTATGGAAGTTGTTGTTCCTGAAAAGGTAAGAATAATCAGAGATTGTGTCAGTCTGATGTATCAAAATGAATAAGCGTAAAATGGTAAAAAAAAAATGTTTGATTGATTTTCACTAATATTTAACTTGCAGGAAGAAGGTAGCCCTTCAGACGCAAAACAGACCTTACAGGACGTGGATATTGAAGATTTGTATACCAAATATAAAAAGTTACAACAAATGCTCGAGTTTTTAGAGGTTCAAGAAGAATATATCAAAGATGAACAAAGAAATCTGAAGAAGGAATATTTACATGCCCAAGAAGAAGTGAAGCGTATTCAATCAGTTCCTCTAGTAATTGGTCAATTTTTGGAAGCTGTTGATCAAAATACTGGTATTGTTGGGTCCACTACAGGTAATGTTTCAATTTATATTTTTCTTGGAGTCCAATTAACTACCTAATTGTAAAAATGCATGACTCTAAAATCAACAGTTCAAAACTGAGAGACATCCAGTTTTTTTCTCGATGTACCGCCGGTACATGCAAAGATCGCCGCCAGCACTCCCTTGTCGCCGACGTCAAGCTTGACCACACTCAACTATTAATTTGAGGGGGAAGATTAAGAGTGAAATTTCAGATTTTTTGCAGATGTTCTATTTGAAACATAAACTTTCAAATAATGAAATGAAAAAAAATTGTTGAATGAGCCCATTGAATAAATGAATACAAATAGGTTTTTTGGGACAGGTGTCGCAATGACGACATATCAAATTTCATAAATATACTTGAGGATTTTCTCTCTTTCTTTTACACAGTCTTCTAAAGAATGCGCATCTAGTGGGCGGAACCATATCGAAATTTAGAAAGCTATTCATACATTTGACAAGTTATTCTTTTCGTCGATTTTGCTGCTAATTTCCATCTTTGCTCCACCATTAGTTTCTTGTATAGTAGTAGTATTTATTCGACAATGGATAAAGTGTATTATACAAGTGACAAGTCATAAAATATGCTACAAATAAATCTATAAATAAAATCTACCAGTGGTATTTAGACAAAAGTGTTTTTATTCATTTCATTTAACTGTATGTATGCAATTCATGTATTGTATTGTAGCATATTTTATGACTTGTCAGTTGTATAATTTCATTTAAGTGATCATGAGTTACCATAAAGTAAACAAGTCGTCAATCACATGTAGCATACATACAGGAGGACTATAATGATTTAAAATAAAAATTGATATTTGTGTAACAGATACAAAGACGATTGAATGAGAAAAAGGTAACTATCGTGGGGAGCAATACAATGGTCAAAGAAAATGTAAAGGGACTTTCACCCTTTTCGAGTTATACAGAAAGGACTCAGTATGTTTGTTCCCAAAATTCCCAACCATATCTTCATTCCAAACCTTTCCTGGAAATTGATTTCTCTATGTAAATGTTCATTTGTATCATTCCACCTATAATGGTTGTTTCTGTTAAACCAACCATTGCTGGTGAATTTTAATGGTCCGTCCACATTATTTTTTCACAAATATTTTCAACTTTCCTATTACTACGTTTCGACCACTTCGCAGCTCATAGGGTGATTAACTTTGCGTATCCTGTAGCATTTGTATTTTTTCTTTTTTTAAATGTGTCTGGTAGATTTTATAGAAATCACTAGTTCGTGGCCAATTTCTCATAACAAACAATCTTGATTGTAAATATTTTTTTTACTAACCAATCCTGAATTCTACATATTTTTTTTTAAATATTGCTAATCTTTATGAGGTGATATTTGCTTACCCAAAACATTGATTTGGTTCCTCACACTTCAGTAACAACACATCTTTTAATTTCATTTTTGTCAAATGCACCACAATATCAAATTCGGAATAAGACGATTTGAGTATAGCTCACTATACATATTTCTTGCCAAAACAGGATTTCTATTTGATTTTTCGTAAGTAAAAAGCATATCAGTCCTTTCGTCATTTGAATACATCTTTAATATGTTATGAAGTAAGATGCTATTTAATCGTACCAAATTACACAACAATCATATTTTGACCAAAAACTAATATTTTCGTTACTTCCACGATTGAGATTTATAAAAATGTTGTATATATAAATTGATTCAGATTAGGTTAGGTTAGGTCCAAAGGGAGTGGGTCTATTTGACACTCCACCGCAACCCGCAAGGGTTTATTGTGGCTCACACCTATTCACCCTCGACCAAATAAACCCAACTTCTTAACGAAGCCAATTAGTTTGTATGGTGAGTGGTCTTTCAGGTCATATGGTAAGAGTATGGTTCTGCCAAACTCTAATAACCGGATTCGGTCCCCAGCGGGGCAGGCACAAAGTATGTGCTCTGCTGTTTCATCATTTCTATATGATGATTCAAATGACAGTAACCTGTAAGAAGGCCTGTTAGACATCGTAGTTCATTCCTACTGTAGTCCAACTGTTTGGTATCAAGCTTCGAAGGGTGAATAAACGCCTTGGAGTGAGCCAATCCTGGAAGATTCTGCTAGAAGTCCATAAATCTTCTTGCCATCCAGGTGTTCAATCTTTGTTTGGCAAAGCCTAAAGTGATGCCAATGACAGGTTCTGGTCCGATAAAGCTGCTTGCAGCTTCATCGCAAGGGAGTCAGCATTGCAAGGGAGTCAGCAGCCTCATTGCCTTCCAGGCCATTATGGCCAGGAATTCAGACCAGAGACAATCTGTTAAGTCTTCCTATCGAGAAGAGTCGTTTTTGGCAATTTGCTACCAATTTAGACGTTACACGGTAGGAGCCAAGATCTTCCAACGCCGCTTGACTGAGAATATTTTTATTGACTTGTGTATAAGGTTGAATTCTTCCAATCTCTCCGCACACAATTCAATAGCGTAAATTTCCGTTTGAAATACAGTCGCATAGGTTCCTAGGCAGGTTGATATGTTTGTCCTGGGTCTTCGACTGAAAACACCTACACCAGAACCAGAAGGTGTTTTTGATCCATCTGTGAACCAACAACTACCTACTCTTAATATTTCCTTCTCCCGGAGGATCCAGTCCTCTCTAATCGGGAATAGTACTTTATAAGGCAGTTTCTAGTTGACAGTTGGAGGCATAAAGTCAGAGGTCATTTCTAGAATGCTGTGACTTGTAGTGTCAACCAACAGTCTGTTGCATTCTGCATTAAATTGATTTGTGCAATTAGCAATGTCCACAAATCTATATGCAGTCCATCTAGCCTCTCCAGAAAAATGTGGAGAGGAGGTAGATCTAGAAGGATCTCCATGGCCGCTGACAGTGTGATACTGATGGTACCACTGATGGCCAGACAAGCCTGGGCCGATTTCTGTAAGGCATTTAAGTGATCATTAGTTTGACAATCATCACATAAATCCATTGGATTTGTTTGGGACCTAAACCCCAAGTTTTACCACAAATCCTTCGACATGTCCATAGGGACAGTCTCGCTTTGTGTAAATCTTTTTCCAGGTGAGCGTTCCAGGTGAGTTTTTCATCAATGCCAAGATATTTCACCTCCGTTTCAAATGGAATGACCTCACCATTGCATTGAAGGAAAGTGGCGTTAGATCTTCCAATTTTCTCTTCCTGGTAAAGGGGATTATCACAGTTTTGCTGGGGTTGTTGTTCACAGTTGTTGTTGTGACTCTGAACCTAATGGCCTCGCCTTAAAGAGTCGTAGTGGCAGTTCTGTTTACTAGCATGGCATAGATCCAGCCAATTATGGTCGATTCTATACCTTTCCTAACCAGTGATGATCCTATAGATTTGGGTAGTTCATTGTCAAATGCTCCTTCAATATCGAGAAATATAGTCACACGGCAATCTCCTTGTTGTCAAGGAATTGGTACATTTTCTCTACAAGGTTGTTTAATGCTAAATCTGTCGATTTGCCGGTTTGATAAGCATACTGGAGGTTATTCAGGTGGGGGGGGGGGGTGCATATAGTGCCACCCTCCTGATGTGTCCTTCCAGGATCCTCTCAAGACCTTTCAACAGGAAGGATCTAAGGCTAATTGGTCGTACCGATTTAGGGTGTGGGTCTGTCCGACTCATTTTTGGTATATATATACCACACTTGCTGCCAACCAACTGGGTGGTATATAGTTCCATGCCAGACCAGCTCTATAAAATTTAATGAGAATAGGTGAAATTATTTCCAATCAGTTTTGAAAAAATGCTGGAAATATGCCATCCTCTCCAGGAGATTTGAAGGAGGTCAGAATCTAAACAGATAAGTACATGAATATTGAGTAAATGTAAATATATAATGCTACGTAATGAACATTGATAGCCATTTCGTGTTGATTTCAATAGCTTGTTTACACAAAGCTACATACCAATTACTCGATAGAGCCTTACATTTATTGTTACATCGTTATAGTACATTTCAAATACAATAAAATTTTCCGTTTTCATCTATTTGTGAAAAAACAAAAACAGAATTTATATTAAATAGTATCAGTGATACCAGACAAAAGGAAGCTAAATGAACTAGTTTATTAAAAACACTCTTTCCTCATCCGAACAAAAATACTATCTCTCGACGCTTGTGTCGCTAAAATCTGTTTTTTTCCGTTAACCACCTGTCGCTCCCTTACGAACAACAGACCTCAAAAGTCAAAACTTGTGCGAGCTACGGATAAACAAGGTTTTACCTTTTAACGTGTAATTTCTAGCACGGGTTGGACGATAGGCAATGAAATTCGATCGTCCGGCCTCGAACCTCCGTTTCACCTGACGTTCGATTGAATGAGTGGAACAAACTACTCACGCCAACCCAACTAGCTACCGTTGGATGTGTCATTAAATAAGTTCGTAAATTTATAAGTGTGATACCCATTTAACTGAAACATAGGTGTAACAACATTTACATAACAGTAAAATATTTCAGTTTATCCTTTTATATTATGAATAGGGTGAGTCTCATATTTCAACCTAGAAGCACTTCAATATCAATAGGCCTCATACCTGAAATATTATTGGTACATTATTTTCATTAACGTAGATGTAGAAGGCTTTAGATGGTACATGTTATGAATATCTTTTTTTTTGTTATAGGTTCCAATTACTTTGTTCGTATTCTTTCCACAATCGATCGGGAACTTTTGAAACCTTCAGCAAGTGTTGCTCTTCACAAGCACAGTAATGCACTTGTCGATGTGCTTCCTCCAGAAGCAGATTCCTCCATAAGCATGCTGCAAGCTGATGAAAAACCAGATGTACAGTATAGTGATATTGGAGGAATGGATATGCAGAAACAAGAAATTAGAGAGGCAGTTGAATTACCACTTACTCATTTTGAGCTATACAAACAAATTGGTATTGATCCACCTAGAGGGGTGTTGATGTATGGACCTCCTGGATGTGGAAAAACCATGTTGGCAAAGGCTGTTGCCCATCATACAACAGGTAATAATAGCATAATGTTCTTAGTAAGTAGAGTAAATCTGTTAAATGCTGCCCTTCTCGTCATGTATATATATGGTAACTTCATTAAAATATTTAGTAATATCAGACATACATTGCCTACCTATAGATTAGTGGAACTGAAATGAAGTTTAACTTTTTTTTTATCCTAGTAGCTGATAAACCGTGAAACAACTCTGATATTTTTTTCGCTCTAACGGAAAAAATAGAATTAAGTAAATCAAAACTTTGAGATTAACTCTGCTATTTTCCACATCTAGATATTGCAATTGCGATAGTTGAGATATCCTGATGGCTAAATACTTATGAAAGACACATAGGGTTATTTGCAAAAGACATCTGCAGGGGTTAATAATGATATTTATCTAAAAAAAATCACCTAATTTACAAAACTATATGAATTAATTAATAAGTACGAAGCATCATATTAACAAATTTACATAAATGGATCTATACGGCTAAGAAATAAATTAGTTATTCACGAAAATATTTAATTTCATTTCCAAGTAAATTATGCTTGAACTGGAGTAGACTACCTGCATTTTTTACAGTACCAGGAAGACTATTGAAGTGTTGTAAACTTATGAAAATAATAGTTTTTGTGATGACCTGACTTGGTTAGGTACATGAATCTGTGTTCTGTTTTTTGTATTATGATAAATATTATATTATAAATGACATTCAAATAAGTTGGTGATAAGTTATCTACTATTTTATGAATATCAGTCATAGAAAGTAAATCCGTTTTTCAGTTGGTATCAAGTTTGGCATTTCTAATATCAAATTTATTGGAATAAAAGGATGGTGTCTTTGTGTTTGGTGTCATGGTTGTGAATCCTGGAGCCACTATTATATTTATTTTTATGTACAAACAATATTACTTCTAGAATATAAATGGAAGGTAATATAAGTATGACCCATTTTATAAAGATTGGTTTAGCATGGATTCTGGAATCAACTTTTTCTGAATCTTTCATTATCTTTTTTTTGGAGAACGAATACTTCACTTGCAGGTGAGGAAGTACCCCATATCAGTATTCCATAGTTTATGTGGCAGTGAGCCATACCAAAATATGCAATTCTCAGCACATCATTCAAAACTAAACTCCTCCTCATTCCTCTCAATGTGTAGCAACACCTTGAGAACTTGTTACATAACGATGTCGTATATCCATTCCAATTTGATTTATTGTCGAGGTGGAATCCTAGTAAACACACCCTTTTGTCACTGTCAGACATTTGGGATCTATCTGCGATAGTTATTTCCTGAGATTTATTTGCGTTCAAGCATAAAACATTATCGCTGAAGTATGTTTCGCTTTTTGTTAGTGTTTCACATGACAACTGATCTAGCTCCTCCACTTGTTGGTTACTTATGACAAAAGTTTCATCATCGGCATATAAAAAAAAACACATCTGTATCAATACAATATGTAGAAAGATCACTTATATAGATTTGAAATGAAAGGGAAGGAAGTACCCCATATCAGTATTCCATAGTTTATGTGGCAGTGAGCCATACCAAAATATGCAATTCTCAGCACATCATTCAAAACTAAACTCCTCATTCCTCTCAATGCCTAGCAACACCTTGAGAACTTGTTACATAACGATGTCGTATATCCATTCCAATTTGATTTATTGTCGAGGTGGAATCCTAGTAAACACACCTTTTTGTCACCGTCAGACATTTGGGATCTATCTGCGATAGTTATTTCCTGAGATTTATTTGCGTTCAAGCATAAAACATTATCGCTGAAGTATGTTTTGCTTTTTGTTAGTGTTTCACATGACAACTGATCTAGCTCCTCCACTTGTTGGTTACTTATGACAAAAGTTTCATCATCGGCATATAAAAAAACACATCTGTATCAATACAATATGTAGAAAGATCACTTATATAGATTTGAAATGAAAGGGGACCAAGTACGGACCCCTGAGGTACTCCATGCTTGACAATTTTGGTATCAGATTTCACATTGTTATATAATATGTATTGCAGCCTGTCTGTTAAAAAAGAATGTATTAGGTCATATGCTATGCCTCTAATACCATATTTTTCAAGTTTTCTCAATAATATGTCATGTGAAACACTGTCAAATGGTTTAGATAGATCGCAAAGAAGTAAGCCAGTGCAGATACCCAAATCTTTATTATGAGCAATGGTGTGAACAATTTCCATCATTGCTTGTGCATCAATCTGAACCCATATTGATCACCATTCAAGTATCTACCCCCTTCAAGGAAATCAAGAAGTCTGTTTTTGACTAGAATTTCAATAATCTCTGATATAATGGTAGTTATGATAATAATCTAGAGTTATTGCAATCATTAAGATCTCCAGTTTTTAGATTGGTGTTGCTCGGCATAATTTTAGGTTCGTTGGAAACATTCCACTTGAGAAGCAAATATTTGTGCTATAGGCTTACTAAGAACATCACATGCCATCTTCACTATAGCAATTACAGTTTGCACTTCAGTTTCATTTGTTGGCTTCAAGAAAAATGAGCCTTTCAGTGAAATCTTCATCAGATCTGCACCATCAGTACCTGGGACAGTAATATTTGTAATCAGCTCATCAATTACAGAAGTTGAATAGTCATTGAAAGTATCAGCAGAAATATCTGAATTTTTATGGACGACTTGTGACTTTCCATTAAATTGATTCATTATTGACCACGTTGTTTTACCAACATTTTCAATGTTCAAAATGTTGTCATTATAACAACTAGAATTAGTTTCTTTTATTTTACTCATGTAACTATTTCTCATGTTTCTCATGAGATGGAACATTTTATGCTTTTCATCCTTTTTTTTTTTTTCATTTCTATTGACTTTGTTACACAGTTTTTTTGGAAATGAAGTGTAGTTATTATTTTTAGTTAACTAGTTTAGTGATCAAATAATTTTTCTGAAGAAAGGTTGGCTGGATAACAGGATCAATTTTTTCCTGAAAAAGCAATTGTTTTCTTGCCGACGATTCGAATTTGATTAAGTTATTTTTCAGGGCTCGAAAAGTAGTTTCTGCATGTTGATAATATTACTATTTATAACCATCAGACATATTAGATACGTATTAAAAAAATAAATAAAAAACATTGCAACAACCAAACTTCCGAGACAACACCAACACAAAACGGCATGAAACATGTTATTGAAAATCAGTTACGTTATCACTTAGATAAATATTCAATTTTGCTCGAAACTCAATCTGGTTTCAGAAAAAATTGTGGTTACATTACAACATAGCTCAAAGTTACAGACAGTGCATTCACTTTGCAGGATACTGGAGAGCTGAACGCTCCTGTACTTCTGAATTACTCAAGAGCATTTGATACTATTAATCATTGCCTTTTATTAGCAATTTTGAACTACATTGGATTGAATGATGGTGCAAGGCTTTTACTAAGCGATTATCTGTGTGACAGAATTCAAGCCGTAAAGTTCCACAAGGAACAATCTTAGGTCCTGTGTTGTTATCGGTGTATACCTCATATGCAGATGCAAATGACCACTGTCTCCAAATGAATCCTTCCAAATCCGTAGTGTTATTGTTTGGATCTAAGGCTAAGCGTTTAAAATTTCTGAAAGATTTTGTTATTAAAATTAACAATGAAATCCTCACAATAGTTGACAATGTCAGAGACTTGGGTTTCTATATGGACTATGCTGAAACTAAACTCAAGAGAATCATGTAGAGGCAAATTCACTAGTCTTAAAGTACTAACACTTATAGGAGTCTATATACAGGAACCCTTGTTATTCCTTTTTAGAAACAAACATCTTTTTGAAAATAGTCTACCACAAAATGTATATAACACTAGAAATTTTGACTATGTATACCCAAAACATACACTAACTGTTACAAAAAAGCGCCCGTTCTATCAAAGCATGAAAGCGTTCGACAAACTCCCCACCAGCATTAAACAAATGAATAAACTTGGTGAATTCAAAAAGGGAATTCATAAGATTCTACTGAATATAGAACCCTATACTATAGCTGAATACCTCAGCCATACTGTCTGATATCTATCTTACTGGTGACGTTATTTCTGTTTTTGTAACCTTTTGTGATTATTCTTCAGAAATCAGAATTGTTGATCTTGTCCCAACATACCTTTGGCGATGTGATTTATGGTCCTTGTTTGAGTGTAAAAGATAAGTCATGATTACAAAAAATTCAGAATTTGTGTATCAGATTCATAAAGGGTTTGACAAGATATTATTCCCATGTATCAGTTAAACTTGAGGAACTCAGTTGCCTGAATATGAAAAAAAGAATATTCCTTCACAGTGCATGTACCTTTCACAAAATTTTTATAGAAAAGATACCTGAATATCTATATAGCAAAATATCATTTTGATCGCAAATTTACTCTGTAAACATTCGACAGAAAAATCGAATCCATATCTCACGACACAATTCAAGCTTATTTAAACGTTCATTTTCTTATAATATAGGTAGTATCCTGAATGCATTGCCTCAGATATTATAAATACCTCTTATTAAAAGTTCAAAAAGAACGTTTTTGTACAACTGTCATTAATTTAATTGATCATTAGTGTTGAATGTCTTTAAGCTTATTCTTTTCTTTTTTATGTTCCATTTGGTATTTTATTAATAGTTTGTGGTGCACTGGACTAATGAAAAGTAAATAGGTTTATTTATTTTTAAGCGATTACAATAGTTTATATCAAGGATTTTACTTGTTGGGTTCATAACTGAACTCTAATGCTTGACTGGTTTCAACAATTGAAACTTTCTTGATGTACCATTTGGGATTTTATAATAATTCTGTAGTGTACTTGACCGATAAATAAAATAAATTAAAAGTGACATTTTTAATGGTTGTCAAGAGTATTAAAAGATGATGTTTACAAAGTAGCGTGTTAAAATATTTTTAAAACGATTTTTTTCAACCAAATAACAATAAACAAAACATAATTATTCAATGTTCAAGGAAGTTTTATTATGAACAATATATAAAGGTACAATTAAATTCTGTTACAAATGTATTATATACATTAATTACATTATTTTTATTATTTATGAACATTAATGTGAAAAGTACAATTAGAACAACTGCTGAATTATTATGATAAGTAAAAATGTATCAGAAAAGTTAAACTCCATGATGAGTTTGTTATGTATACATGAATTGATGACAATTAACCGAACTTGTTTTTTAAAATAAAGGAGATATCTGTCAAAAATAATGCAAGACATTAAACACCAGCAAGAACTTTAAATGTGACTTTAAATAAAACGTGTGAGCTGTAAACAATACTGTTTGTTGGTAACCAGGTGATTCGGCGTCACCTGACACGGCCATTTCACAGCAAATGCAATAACATGAAAATAGTTAACTGACAAGAGATGTTAAAATGTGTTTTTATGGGAGTATTAAGTTTATCTATTTTATTATGAAAACAGGACAGTTATACAAAAAACTCTGCATGACATTTGTGTTGAAAGTAAATTTTATTTTGTTCGTGAAATACCTCAACTCGATACCCTCGTTTCGAAAACTTTTTCACCTAACTTTTAACTCTCATATCATATATAGCTATTGTCAACTTTTAATAAGAGATCAAATCTGATGTACCGTTAGTTAACATAGTATTTCCCAACTTTTCTAATTGATTTTACAATCACATCTGAACCATGTAGTTTTAATTTATTAAAATTAATTAAACACTTTCACTAATCAAATTTCCTTGGAGCAAACAAACAAGTATATTGACATTTGGTTACTTTGGATAAGGTCTTCTAAATGAATGTAAAGTAGGTTAGGTAGGTTAAGTTAGGATAAGGTAGGTTAAGCTAGTGTGGTGTCCAAGTATCTGATAATAGTAGGGTCGAAGGTTAAGTGGTAGAACAGGACCTCACTAGTTTATACGTAGTGGGCTACTGAACTTCGCCTTTTAGGTCAGCAATTATGTGTAAATGAATGTAAAACACATTTGTTTCGTTTTCCATGCTGTTCCTATAAAGACATAATATTATAATTATTGTTATTAATATTGATGTTCAATTTTTTTTAGCTGCTTTTATCCGAGTAGTGGGATCTGAATTTGTTCAAAAGTACCTTGGAGAAGGACCCCGTATGGTACGAGATGTGTTCCGTTTGGCCAAAGAAAATTCTCCTGCCATTATATTCATTGATGAAATTGATGCTATAGCAACTAAGAGATTTGATGCTCAAACTGGAGCAGATCGTGAAGTTCAAAGAATTTTACTAGAGTTGCTCAATCAAATGGATGGTTTTGACCAAACTACAAATGTTAAAGTAAGTAGGCTGAAGTGATTTCCAATGACTTAATATCATGGAGAGTTTTTAGTATGATGGGTATACTGCCACCCCTTGGTTTCATATTATTGAGGGGGTGATCCAATGTAAACAAATTGTGCAGATTATAGCCTGGTATTTGGGTCTTTGAAATAGATACATCATCTTCAAACAATGTTTCAGACATCATCACAATGTCACTCTTTTGTATACTCATATTAGGATTTTCAATTCATAAATCAATTATTATTATATATCTAAGACATATTCGTGTTATTACATCGCACCCTAGCAATAATGATGCCACAACTCAAACTTCTTTAAAACTCTGGTAAAATAAAGTTCTGTTCCATTATTTGGTTCCATATATTCTTTGGAAATATGTTTGAAAGTTAATAAAGGGGTCTTTATTTTCTAAATTTTTCTCCCAGCACATAGTTGTGGTCACTTGTTTTTCCTGTTGAACATCCATCGGTTATGTTTATGGAGTATGACAGTGAAGATATTTTTTCACAATAAGCTGGTAATGGCTCTCACACAATAAACAAGGAAAATTTGAACATGTATAATCCAGTATACATGAAACTTGAAAATCTCGTAGAACCATCACAATTTACTGAAGAAATTCGGTAAACATTTTGAATAAGGTATGTTTTATGAATCTTGTTGCTGAAAGTACTTTCCTTATCATTTGAAACGACCTGAAAGAGAGTAATTCACGTAAAAACTGTACAACCTGTCAATCAGCAACTCGAAACATTTTTAGTTATTCTTAGTATCATTCTAACAATACATTATGTACATTTGTGATTATATTCTGATTATATAATAGAATAGATGAACTATTGCCACATCTAGTCTATTAAGTATTATGCTATGTGATACCATTTACTAGATTTTTTTTTCTTTTATCATCTATATGTAAAACATTTCTAAAACTATTTTTAATTTATAATTTAATCTGATTGAAATAAGATTATCATCATACAAAGAAGTAAAGTAATATAAGCTTGCACTATATTATCATATAGTGGAATTCTATTGTTCAGCTTTGTTGACTAACTTGAAAATTCCTCATATCAAGTTTTTTTAGGTTATAATGGCAACAAATAGAGCAGACACCTTAGATCCTGCTCTGCTCAGACCTGGTCGTTTGGATAGGAAAATTGAATTTCCTCTGCCGGACCGTAGACAAAAACGTTTGATATTCAGCACTATCACATCAAAAATGAATTTATCTGAAGAGGTAAGTTTGTATGAGAAATCAATCAATCATTTATTCAAGTATATAATCTTAATATATAGACCGTGTTAGGAATCACACATTAAAAGGCAAGACCTCGTTAATCCTTATCTCGCACAAATTTCGACTTCTGAGGATTGTCGTTTGTAGGGGTGCGACAGCTGGTTAACTGAAAAAACGGATTTTAAACAGATTTCAAAACAGAAACAGACTGTTTTGTCAAACTAATCTCACTATTGGTGTCTCGGAAGTGGTAGACTTACAAGATTGATAAATTGCATATTTGGGGAGACAATAAAAATATTTTTCAGATAGTAACTATCAATGCGTTTATAACTTTCTTAGAACGTTTTTCCAAATAGATTCAATCGCCAGCGATTCAAATCCAATGTGAATCGCTACTTTCGCACAGGCACCGCTCTTGGATCGCCTCAAGGATTTTCCTGTCGTGCTTGTGTTTTGTCCTTAAGAAATGGGTGTTTTCATGTTATTCACAAAAAACTATAATTATGGGATTTCATTCAAATAGTATGAAAATAAGGAAGAGGAACTTTTGAATTATTTCATATTTGTTAGGATCTAGTATGAACCAATTTTCAATAGTTTTTTCATCCATTTTATAAGCCACAATCAAAACGACAAATTCAGACATGAATGAATGAATGAATACATTTTATATACCTCAAGTACAACTTCTGTTACATATGAGAAAATCTGAAATTACAAATTTTGCTCGGGTACGTCATACGTACAATAAATACATTGAATACTTTTTAAACAAAAACTCCTATAGGACAGTAACAACTTATAGTTCATAATAACTTGAAGTGATACCTCATCAGCTGTATTTTGATAATGCATCTTCAAAACTCTGATAATTTCTATGTGTGGGATAAATGTGAATTCTGGATCCACCATTATATTGACTTTTATTTTAAGTACAATGTCATTATGGGTTTCGTACGTATTATGAAAGCAACTTAGTCTAAGTATATCATAATCTTCTTTCATTCGATTATGGAGAATACCCCATACCAGCGTTTCATAGTTTATGTGACACCAAAATATGTTATTCTGAGCACAACCAGTGAAACTAAACTCCTCAGTTCTTAGATATCGCAAGAGCTTTTCACATAAGGTGTCATATGTACCTTCCAATTTGATTTATTATCAAGGTGGAATCCTAGTAGACATATCTGTTTTCACACTTTTGTGATGATTATTCTTGTTATATTTGCAAGCAAGCATAGAACATTAGCGCTGAAGGGAGTTCCCCTTTTCGACAGTATTTCACATGATAGATGATCTGTATGTACCTTCCAATTTAATTTATTGTCAATGTAGTATCCTAGTGAACATATCTCATTGTCACTATCAGATATTTACAATAGTTATTTCTTGTGTAATATTTCTGTGTAACAGAATCAATTTTTTCTTAAAAAAAAACATTGTTTTCTTGCCGACGTTTCCAATTTTATCAAGTTCTTCTTCAGGGCTCAAAAAGTAGTTTTTTCGTGTTGATAATATTACTATCTTAGCACTAAAGTAAGTTTTGCTTTTCAGCAGTGTTTTACATGACAAGTTATCTAACTGCACTTGTTTATCACTTGTAACAAAAGTTGCATCATCGACATATAGAAAAACCTCTGCTTTGTCTTCATAGGTGTAAAGATCATTAATATAGATCCCTGAATTACTCAATGTTTGCCAATTTTGGCATAAGATTTTTCATTATTATACAGGTTGTTCCTCAATGATATGCAAGTATTCAAGGGTGTAAATCTACAGGAAAAAATAATGATAGGTTGCTATATAAATAAACTATGGTCCAAAAATGTTCCCGTTACAAAAATACGACGTGTTGAAGTTTTAACAAAGAAATTAAACCATTTGGGATATTTTAGTGATATTTGGTAAGCAGAAACAGTTGGTAAAATTTTATATTTTTCAATTAAAAAAAATTATTTACAACTTCAAAATAGGCTTGGGTATGGGGATTGACTTTGATATTTGTGAAAAAAAAAGATACTGCTTACAAGAGAGCTCTCTTGAGTTTTTTCTGTGATGCGCCATTTTTGAGTAAAGGAAACGTCACTTAATATGAATGCTCTCCTTCTTACGAAATTTCGCACTCATTGAAAAATCCCAAGCGTATTTTTTATTGTACCACATGCTGCAAATATTCTTTCTCTCAATTCCTCTTCAAAGGGAATTTGTACACTAGAGTTTTAAGATATACTAACAAAAAGAAATCTAAGGCATTGAAGTCTGGAGACCTTGGTGGCCATTCTTGAGGTCAACCGCCGCCATTCCAAAGATTTTGGTAAACAGTTTGCTAATAATTATGAATCACTATTTTTTTTCTCAATTTAGCATCTACTTCCTTTTCATTTAACATGTCATACAACATACACGTCACTATCTTACTATTATAACAAATCGACTTAGTGCTTATTTGGCAAGCTTGTAGTCATTTTAATATTACTGGAGTTTTATCCTAACACCAAACCATTATTTTTAACACCTCCACACCTCGAAAATGAAACTTATTATCTTCTGGGCACACAGCATCCTCTCCCCATTCATTTTACGTGCCACTAGTCACGATTCGAAGTTTGGTGACGTCATACCACGGGTTTTTCCACAGGGTCCTGCTCGGAGGTCTGAAAAAGTGAAAATAAACCTCCATAAGAAAAATGGAAATGATGAAAATGGTTTCAATACTTATTTTCCCCATGGGTTATCAATGATTTATCATCTGCAACAGAGTTGGTAGTATCCGAATACAACAAATTTTCCCTTTGATATATATACCTAAAAACTTCACGGAGGTGTCGCAGGTCACTCTAAAATCATTGAATGTGATGCTCTTCGGTGTCTCCATGCTGTTATAAATTTTGAACATGATGCAATCTGAATTATTTTGATTAAATTGTTGAATTGCTAATTTGTTTTCATTTCTTTTTTTTTGTTACAGGTGGATTTGGAAGATTACGTTGCCAGACCTGACAGAATTTCTGGGGCAGATATCAATGCTATTTGTCAAGAAGCTGGTATGCATGCTGTAAGAGAAAATCGTTACATTGTTTTGCCTAAAGATTTTGAAAAGGGATATAAAAATAATATCAAGAAGGACGAGAGTGAACATGAATTCTACAAATAGGTTTATTTTACTAATAAGTTTCACTTCATACTCATCTAATGATATCAAATAAATGATTTGAAACTGACTTAGTCTAATAATATTGCCATTCTATTCCACACTGCTGAGTTTGTTATAAACATATTTTCATGGATAAGTATCTCATTCATCATAATCATAAGATATACTTTTCATGATTGTTTCAAGATGTTGGAAATGACATTTTCTGTATTATCCCACTATCTGAAAAGCGATTCAATATGTAAATACTGTCAAAAAATGTGACAAAGTGAATTCTATCAAGTACAGTAAAATATTTCACGAGGCTTGTTTTAAATGAGCAAAAGACCAGAAAAAGGTTTCAAGATGGAACATAACGAATAAAAGACAGAAAAGAAATGAGAACAAATCAATATAAAAAAAAATTGAAAACAATCTTTCATTAACGTGCTCAAAAAAAAAAACATGAATTATATGTAATCAAACTTATCAATATAGGTACTGCATTGCATATGTCAATATCAAATTACATATTTTATTCTTGTTTTATATCATTCATGTCGTGTAATGTAATAGATTGGTGGGTTTAATATAATTCAAAGTTTATTTTCTTCCATTCAGAGGTGTCACTAGAAACGTGTTTTTGAAAATGTTTTTTTATATTAGTTTATTTTTCATATATTTTATCTGTTCATTTCATTCAATGCGACATTGTTCTATGGTCAGTCACAATATTTGCTCAAGTACCATCAAACTATCATTAATATTTGCCGTGTTATAACTTCAACTTAACCTTTTTTTTCTTGAACCTTTCATATGATATCCATACCATGGGTGTTCATAAAAAATAGTTCATAAGTCTACCATCTTTTGGAGTTATCCATATTGGAGTGACATCATTTTATTTTCTGTATTCTTTTTGGTAAACCCCTTTTCATATGAAATTCATATCATAAAGGTGCGTTAAAAAATTAGTCCACCATATTGGGCTGTCTACTGTCTAGTATTTAGCTAACCATTTTATTTGATACCCCTATCATGCTTTGTCAGCAACGTTCAATTTGCCAGGAACACGAATTCCATTCCATTGAGCTGCAACTGATGAATTTTGTATTCCACCAACATTTTCAAGCTTATACATTAATGTATAATTTTGAAAATGTTCATATATTTCGAAACTGCAGTAACTTTAGTTACAAATAAAAGTGGTAAAAAACATATAAAGTAACTCCAATTATATAAACAACAAATTACTTAAAGGTGTGTTTGAGGTAATCGGTGGAGTATTATTAAATTTGGTTAATACCTCACTCAGAACTGGTAAAATACCGCAAAAACTAAAAAATAGTACAGTGATTCCTGTACCAAAAATTAAAATACTAATGAAGCCATCAACTTTCGTCCGATAAATACTTTATCTCCCCTTGAAAAAATTATTGAGATGGCAGTATATGAACAATTGATTAATTACATTGAAAGTAATTAACTGATTATGATGAACCAATCCGGATTTCGATCTAAACACTCATGTGAAACAACATTACAAGTTTCCATATCCGAATGGAAACTTGCTGTTGATAATAATTATATTGTTGCAGTGTTTCTAGACATTAAAAGGGCATTTGAGACAATTGGTGTTACTATCCTACTAATAAACTCTAATATTATGGAATTTCTGATTAATTTCACTAGTTCGGACTTCCATTGTCTAAAGTAAAGCTCTGGTTTGAGACAAATGCTCTGAGCGTAAATGAAAGTAAGACTCAGATGCTAATATTTACGATACGAAACTTACCTGACAGCTATTTCAATTCTGAACCAGTTAAATTCCTAGGCGTTTATATTGATCCGGTACTGACATGGGAAAAGCATATTGCGTACCTCTCGGGTAAACTTTCAAGAACTATCTATCTAATAAGGAATCTAGTAAATAGTGTATCTCATAATGTATTAATGACAGCTTACTATAGTTTTTTTCACTCAGCTATGTCATATGCTATACTAAATTGGGGCCACTCAACCCACGCATCCAAAGCATTTAGTTTACAGCGAAAATGCATCAGAATTATAGCCCACATAGGTTACCGGGAATGTTGTCGTCAAAAGTTTATGGAACTATGTATACTTACCTTGCCATGTGTCTACATATTGGAATGTCTATTGTATATGAAACAAAATCAAAACATGTATAGTAGACATTGCGATTTACACAACTATTCTACTCGAAACAGTCAAAGAATTGTACAAAACTATTTGCGACTCTCCCGTACTAGAGACGGAACTAGCTATCATTGCATAAATATGTACAATGTCCTTCCAGAAGAAGTAAAAAACTTACCTTTCACACAGTTTAAGAACAAAATAAAACTATACCTAAAAAGAAAAGCGTTCTATAGCACTGAGGAGTACCTTCAAAATAACTTTAGGGACATGCATTAAATCACTTAATTCTTTTTAACAATGTCTGTGCATCATTTTTTTTATATCTGTAAGTGTTAGTTGTCAAGTATACTTGTTTATATGCATTTATTGTAAATTTTTATCTAATAACGTATTTTTTTTNTTTTGGTTACCAAGTAAGGTCCTTGCCATGGTCTCTGCAACTTGGGACACAAACCTTTCCGACTTTGGGGTTGCACGGACTAGTTATTACTCATATTAGGAAACGCTAGTTGAAGTTCCAGAAATTCACATACGTTTTTGCTACTTCTTAAACATTGACCTACAAAGTAAACAAGTGAGGATTTTTCCAGTGAAAGATTTACAAATACAAGACAAGATATACTGTATGGAATTATTTAATCCAGAGCGGTCAGGAGTATTGATTCTGCTATTGTTTTGCTCACGAAGATTATTCAACAAGAATATCCTCTTGTCCTAACGAGTATCTAGTAGACTTCAAAGTCTCCAGGAAATCGGTTGGAGGGAAAGATGATACATTCTTACGAAACTGCAGCTGCAAGATGTGGTGCTGCAGTAATTAGTAATTTCATTGAGGGGGGGTTAGTGGTAATGTTCCATACCTAGTTGATATGGCTCATCTGTTGAAAATTTTCGAGGGTTTCGGTAAAATCTCCAGTTTTTGTAGATTTCAGTTTTAGTATTTACGTCTGAATGACGGTTATAAGTAAAGGAGTTGTGTTCGAATCCTAAGTTTTTGTGTTTGGGGATATTGTTGGAATAGTTTGAAATACTAGTACCTAGCCTCCACAGATCCAGGTAACACTCCGTCAATTGAATGATTTCCTGAGAGGTAAAACTTAGGACCAGATGATACAAATTTATTATGGGGCTTACTCGACTGCCTATGGAATGTGTTTCTGGATGTAGTCTACATCGTTTAGGTTTGATATGAAGGTGTCCTTCCTCTAGGTTTGAAAACATTGGGAGGTGTACCTACTAAAGACTTATCTGTTTGTTGGAAATTTTCTGTGGAGAGGTCGTGGCTGAACGTTGATAGGTTGTCTGGAGATTGAGTTTGCATAATATGATTGAGGGTGGTTGTCGTATTTTGAATTGAGATCTTTGAGGAGGAGTATGAATGAAATTTGGGGTGTTACAGAAAATCCTTCAACTTTGTGCGTTCCGAAATTAGGGTCGAGTGACAGCTTTCGGACATATAATATATTTTCTTCCTCTATAATGTAAGCTATAGCAGATTCCAAAAAATCTGGGTTCTTTATTTCAATCAAGCTCTGTAATGGACCTGATAAACCTCTAATAAAAGTTCTCAAACAAATTTGTTGGTACTGTCTTAGATATGCTCTTATGCTACCGACTGAACCGGTTACATATTCAATATATGAAGTTACATTTTCAAAAATATTTTATTTTGACATTTGCAAGATTGGCTAAGTGAACCGGATTTAAATTCTGATTCACTTAAATTTGTATTGTCAACTCTGCATTTGAGTAGTATGGAAGAGCGGATGTAACTCTATCCCACATACCAGAGTAATTGACTGTTTTTTGGTAGTGGAAAGTGAGACGATAAAACCTATTGAAAAATTAGACAAGAAAGGAAAATCAACAACTGGTGTAGAAAAAAATTTATCAATTCAAGGTGTACAAATAATGTTAATCGAAGTATCAGGTATCTTTTGATAATGGTCAGAGAAGGCGTAGATTTTTTCTTTATTTATATTGAAATGATTCATACACAGATAATCTGTGGAAGATCCGAATATCCAGAGTTTTTGAATTCTTCACATAAAATCGTTAAAAACAGATCTCGAAATGGCTTTTGGTAACATTTAAGTTAGTTTGCAAAATAACTCATCGTTATTTCAAATTCCATTCTGAAATTGTGTAAAATTATTGAAATAAAAACCTAATATTTGATCATTATACATGTATTTGTCAATCAGAACCACCCAGCAGTGAATACTATAGTACTACTAATATCACATTAATGCCTATTTAACCATTCCATAAATAATGAAAAAAAAATAAATAATGAAAATGTCTTTGCCTTAGGTATATTCATTCAAGACAATCAATCTTTTATTCACTTTTGAAAATGTAAATCTTATTTTGACGAAATACATTCAATACACACTGAAGCGATAAAAAAGGTTTAAACTTTGAGATATAAACTAAAAATTGTTCATAACCTAACGAATTTCACTAATTACAGTTCTGTGTGACTATCTTCCGGGTGTTCTGAAGTTCTAGTAGGATGAATTTCACCATCTCCTTCCTTTGCCTCACTGTCTTCAATAGGCTCTTCAATAGTTGTTTCATCAGCCAATTCTTCTTCTACAATACTTGGATTTTCATCAACTGAATTGGTTGCGTTGCTGTCTGAGGTTTCCTTGACAGGTTTTTCAATAGTTTTGGGCTTCCAAAGTTTGGCTTTATTTAGTAAATACTTGACTTCTCTATCAAGGGCGGCCATCTTGTCCATTAACATTTTCACCGTCACTTTTAAAGGTTCATAATTTTTCAATGCTTCTTGTTCTTTCATGATATTATCTCTCCATTCAATTGTTTCCTTTATTAATTTACTAAGAGTATCAATTTCAATATCTGTAAATATATCTTTCTCCGGATTAGTAGTTTTTGTGAGGTTCTTGGCACTTTCTAGGAAGTTTGATGAATGATTCAGTAAGGATTTTAATGCTTTCAATGCTTCAGGCCTTTCCTTGTGTTCCCACACTCTTGAAAACAAATCTTTCGTTAAAATGTGTAGTTCATCCAGTTTTTTTTCATATGTGTCAGCATCAGCATCAGACCCTTCCTCATAGAGCCAGCTTGATGTATCTGAGCAAGCAGTTTTTATTTTTTCTATTTCTGATTCAGCACCTGCTTGTACGTACTCATCTTCATATAATTTATTTTGAACGTCTATTACAAAACTCTCTAAATTATTCAAAGCCGATGCTCTTCGATTAATTTCATTTTCTATTTTCTCCAGTTTTGATAACTTCGCAGATGATACACTGAGTTGATTTTTATCTAGGATCTTTATAGATAAAACATTTTCTAATGCACTGATAGGTTCTTTGATAGTGACTACTTTCGGTTTCAATTCCTTAACTTTTTCAGTTATATTTTTTGAGGTTTCATTACCGATTGTTTTATCTGTGTCTTTATCACTTTCCTCCTTTTTATTATCTTCTTTCTCATGGACTGGCTTTTCGTCTGCAAATTTATCCTCAGACTGTTTTTCCTCATTTGGTTGATCTTCAGTGGGTTTTTCTTCCCCTCCAAATAGTTTACTGAACGTACTACCTACAATAGAAATAGATACAATTAATTGAGAAGTATTCGGAAAATGTAAATAATTTATTAAAACTGAATTAGGATTATTTGAATCTATCCTAAAACTTGAAAAATTAAACCAAACATCTTCAACAAAATGTGTAGAAACACCGATTCAGCCATTGAATTATCCAATAGAATTAACATCAAGAAACAGTTATGATAAAAAATGAGAAATGATCCGTTCTTGTTTTTTAACACCTTTATTTGTAATTACCGTTATTGTAGTTTCGTCCTATAAGGAGATTTTCAAACTAATAACGTCAAACTGCAGTAACGTTAGTTACAATTGAAAGTGGTAAAAACATACCTATAGAAAGTTTCATTTCTTATTTACCATGATTTTTTTAAGGACAAAACACAAGTACTACAAAAAATCCTAAAGACGTTCTAAGAGTGGTGCCTGTGCGAAAGTAGTGATTCACATTGGATTTGAATCGCTGGAGATTAAATCCATTTGAAAAAACGTTTTCAGGAAGTTTATTCCACATAAACGCAGTTCTCCAGTTGAAAGAGTTCTTGAACAGTGAAGTTCTAGGTGTACTGAGTTGAACCTCAAAACGATGAGTAGCCACAGTCAGCTCTTGGTGGAATCAAATGTACCAAGTCACTTGAACACTTCTCGTAGAAGTATCTATAGAAGGGAGATAAATCTCGAACCTTTCTTCGATGTTCCAGACTACCAAGAATGCAAGTGATGTTTGAATCTCCAATCAGGCGAATGTTTCTTTTTTGAATAGAATCCAGCAGCTTCAGGGTACGCTTAGGGGCGGAGCGCCATACATGAGAACAATGCTCCAAAGAAGGTCTCATCTGAGCTTCATAAAGCATCAAAAGTTGCAGAGGTGTGTACAGTTTTCTGGTTCGGAACAGTGTTCCATGTTTTGAGAAGCGGCTTTTGCAATTCCAGTGACATGATTGTGCCAAGACATATTGGTGACCATTTTAACCCCCAACAAACATATCAAAGCAGAAAGTGGAATTGTCTAACCTGACATTATTATATGTGGTTCAGAGGTATTTATCTTTTTGGAGAAAACCGATGCATGGGTTTTTGTGGCACTGAATTGAATCTGGTTACTTTCACCGCAATTCGAAATTACTTCTAGATTCTCATTAAGATATGCAACCTCCTGCTACCGGTGAAGATGTGCATCCGCCGCCGATGTCCTTGAATCCAAATAAAATGACGAAACAAGTGTGCTGCCATCAGCAAAGCAATATATTGGATTCTTGGTTTTTTCCAATAAGTCTTTGATATACAATAGAAAGAGGGTTGGAGACAATATAGATCCCTGGGCAACACCAGCGTTGATGGTAAAAGTATTCGAAAGATATCCGCAGGGAATGTTTTTTCAGGAAGGCGAAGAGCCATACACAAAAATGATCCGACAAGCCATTGCTTTGAAGTTTGGCCAGCAAACTCTTATGCCACACACGGTCAAATGCCTTAGAAATATCAAGGACTACAGCTCTTGACTTGATTGCATTATTCCAAATATGAGTGACATACGATAAAAGTTAGCCTACCACATAGTAACAGCTCCGTCCATCAATTTATGAGTTATGACTCTAAAAATGTTATTCATTAGAATAAATGAAAGAAGATTAATGGTCTTGAAGCAATATTAGAGAATTTGTTTTAGATGTAATCTTATTTCTATGGAATCTGACAATTATGATCACATGAGGAATGTGATCAGTAGGAACACATCTTCCAATAACCCAGGTAAGTCTTCTTCGAGAAAGTGTAAATAAGAACGACCATCAAGGCGTCCTGGTAGAAAAAATGGGCCTATTAGATGATCACCTATAATTCATGCCCATACATTAACCGAAAATTGGTGTTGGAAATGGGTTTCGGTTATTGCATTTACTGGGAAAATTTATTTCCCAGTATTTTGCCAATTGAAAGAATTGAGCTGGTTGAGTGTCTCTTAGACAGAAACCATAATAATCTTGTAGCAAAACAGGAAATTCTACGTCTACCTATTATTTATCTATCTTAAAATTATTTTAAATTTAATGAAAAGTTTTATTCCTACAGCAAAAGGCTAATAATAGAAAATCTGTTGAGTCCTTTGCTAGCAATTTTTTTTTTGACTATCTTGACAAAAAAATTTATAATAATCATTTGAATAAAGTTTTTCACAGTGGTAGAGATACGTAAATGATACCTTAGTCTGTTTTACTGGTATAGGTAGGCAGTAGTCAAATTTGTCAATTCCACTCACCCATCAATTAAATTCAACACTGAAATGGTGGTAAATAATTCAATAAAAATGTTTCTAGATTTGACTCTTACTAAAATTAATAATAAACATGATTTTGCAATTTTCCAAAAACCATCTTATAGGGACACATCCCTATCAGAATAAAGTAGCAGCATTCAATAGTATACTTTACAGGCTATTGAATATTCTACTGTCAGAGAGTAATTTTCAGAGAGAACTGAGTTGTATCAAATTGCTGTCAACAACGGTTACTAGGTAGATATTATCAACTCCATTCTTTCCAAAAAACAACAAAATCAAGCCATTGCCAGGTCTATCCCACTTCAAGAAAGACATAGTACATTATATTTTGGTGAACCAACCAATAATATAACCACATTAATATAACCATGTCGGATAATTCAGGATTACATAAGAAGACGCGTAGAAGTTTTTTGAATGTGAAAAACAATACCACATTTGCAAGCCATGTTTTGGCAGAGGGACATGAGTTCGACCACAACTATGACTTACTACATTTGAAAGATAAAGGTTTGGAACTCAATCTTTTGGAATGCTTGGAAATGAATACATACAGTGTGTTAAAGCCAAATGGAATAAATTCATTATTTCGGTTACAATACACATTTTAACAAAATCCCGAAACACGTCAATTTCCTAATTTACCGCTCATATATCAAGGAACAATAAGCAAAATAGAGAAGCAGTTTCGCGAGCTTGGGCATGTTGAGCACATAAAAAAACCAACTGCCATACTGCCAATGCAATGAGTGATGAACTCAAATTAAATGTGATGTTTGATGTTGGGGAAAACCCACATACATCGAGAAGACAAGCATGCACTACATTCAATGTTAGTCATACATCGATAGTAAACATATTAAAAGAAAGAAAAATGCATCCCTATAAAATGATACATACTCAGGAGCTCATGAAAGACGATTTTGATAGAATAACTTATTTTTGTGAGCAAATGATGGACATGTTGGATAACAATATCATCCAATTAGAAGACGTCATGTTCTCTGATGGGTACTTTGTCTCTTAACGGTCATGCTAATCGGCAAAATTGCCGCTACTGGTCAACGGAAAATCCTCACTGGATGAAAGAACACACGCAATACCCTCAAAACGTTAATGTTTGGGCAGGGATTGTAGGAAACCATATCATTGGTCCCTTTTTCTTTGAGGGCGATAACTATTTGGCACTACTTCAAAATGATGTCATTCCAAGTTCAGCAAATTTATATTCTGATCCAGGAAACCTTCAAATTCCAGTGAATACGATATGGTTTCAGTAGGATGGAGCACCAGCATATTACCAAGTTAATGTCTGGCAATACCTCGATACAACATTTTTCAATTGGCAGATGAGGAGGCGAGGATCGATTGAATGGCCAGCGTGATCACCTGATCTTTCATCGTTAGATTTCCTTTTATGGGAATATGTAAAGAGCAATGTGTACAAAATAAATCTAGCTTCTAGTTTGGAAACTGCTAATTGGTTTATAAAATGTCCATTTCTTCTATAATATTTAGAAAAAATTAATTAGTTTGTACCTAAACATCATTCAAATTGTTATATAATACTTATGATCCACTAATACACTAATTACGTAGAATTCAATCAGAAATAAACACTCCCGAGAAAGCTATTGTATAGAGAAACACGTATTGCAGTTTTGTAAACGATCCAGTGAAAATCACAAAATGTTACTTGATTATATAAAATCTTGGAGCTAAGCTCAAAACACACCCATTGAATATATATAATGATCATCAGACCAATGTACTGAGCAATTGCCTTGATGATAGAAAGTTTCATAGTAAACGGCTAAGGTGAATCTCTCGATGTACAGAGACAGGCTTGCCTGGTTATTTCTGATGTCTTTCTGGAGAGGGAGGCTAGATGGACATCATACAGAATTGTGTATAATGCCAATTGCATAAAACAGGCTTATACACAGTATAGCTGACACTGAAAGTCCCAGTATTCTGAGAATGACTCTGTCTTATTGCCTCCAACTGCCGGCTACAAACTGTGTTTCACAGTCCTAATCTCACTAAGAGAGGATTGGATCTACAGAGATATTATGAGCAGATATATAGCCATTGGTTCACTGTTGGATTAAAAATACCTTCGGGTTCTAGTGCAGATATGTGCAAGCAGAAATTTATGATATTGATATGCGTTTGGAGAAATTATCTCGCCCAGCGTTTAAATTGTGAGAACTACCAAAAAGACTCTCCTCAATAGGAAGATTTGAAAAATAATCTCTGGCGTGGATTTCTGTCTGCACTGGCCTGGAATAAAATGAAGCTGTTGACTCTCTTACAAGGGAGAGCGCTGCAATCTGTTTCATCGGACTAGAATCTGTCTTTTGAATCTCTGGAGATATTTTTAAGAGTGAGAAAAAAACCTTTTAGGTTTTCCATTTCCTCATCATCACATAGAAATAGGAAAACTTCTTAACAAAGAAGGAAATTAAATACATTAGTATTTACACATTTTGTAGAGAAACTGTAGCCAGTTGATTAGCACAAGTGGTTTGTTCTGCTCATTCAATCGACTGGTACATGAAACGGAAGTTCGAGTAGGATGACAGACTTTTGTGTACCGTCCAAAACAAGGAAATGCATGTTAAAAGATAAGGCATCCAGAAACTGAGCCATCTGCCTGATTGAAGACGATAACATCACATGCAACCTTAATAGCCTGGAACATCGAAGAAAGGTTGAAGATTTGTCTCTCTTCAATAGATACTTTCACGGGAGGTGTTCGAGTGACTTGGCACATTTGATTCCACTAAGAGCGGTACATATCAGAAATACGCGACGGACTGTGGCTGCTCATCGTTTTGAGGTTCAACTCAGTACACCTTGAACTTCACTATTTAAGAACTCTTTCATCTGGAGAACTGCGTTTATATGAAATACATTTTCTGAGAATGTTTTTCCAAATGGATTTATTCTCCAGCTATTCAAATCCAATGTGAATCACTACTGTCGCACAGGCACCGCTCTGAAAGCGCCTTGAGGATTTTTTATAGTGCTTGTGTTTTGTCATTAAAAAAAAGAAGGTTGTCATTCCTAATGAGGTTTAAATCTGTTTAAAATCTGTTTTTCCGTTAACCAGCTATCGCACCCCTACGAACGACAACCCTCAAAAGTCGAAACTTGTGCGAGCTAAGGATTACCGAGATCTTACCTTTTAACGTGTGATTCCTAAGACGGGTTGGACGATAACAAGTGAAAATCGATCGTTCGGACTAGGGCTTGAACCACCGACCAACATGACAGTCAATTCAAGTGAGTGAACAAAGCACCCACGTCGAACCGCCTGGCTACCGACCGACCATAAAGCTGGTCAACGGAAAAACAAAATACTTTTCAATATCTGTGAGTGTAATTTTCAAGGACTGTTCAACTTTAGTGCTGATTTGAATGAAAAATTAAGTAATATTTTTTGTTATTTCAAATACTCAAAAAAGTTCAAGTCAATCCTATGAATAATTTGAACCATAAAAATAATCAAATAAGAAAAAATCTCAACTGTTCAGTTTATGAACTCACCCAATTTTGATAAGGTTCCTTCTTCCTGATCAGATGGTGAAATGGTTTTTTCCACAACTAAATCAACATTTATCAAATTCAACACACCAGAATCATCCATTGAAAAATGTACTTTAATTCCTTTAGTTTCAGTATTCTCACCGGAGTTTTTTTTTAGAGCTTCAGCCACTCCAGTTAATTTGTATTCTGACAAATTTGTTGAACCAATATAAGCGGCCTCCTGTTCTGGTAAGTAATCTAAATCAGCATAATTCACGTTGAAAGTAAAATCTGTGGTATGTTTATTGAAAGTAATTATTTTCTTTTGGGGATATGGGTTCATTAAACCAAAAAGTGTTCTTTTAACATGCTTCAGACCATTTTCTGTTTCACGTTCAAATAAAACTTGTATGGGATAAATTACAGCATCTTTTGTGATAAATTTGGATACTTTGAAACCTGTACTCAAATCAGCTGCTTTATAAACTGCTCCCATTGCTGCTGCTTCATCAGTATTCAAATTTTTTGCAAGTTCAATACCAACAGCTTTTTGTAAATACTCCTGAACTTTAGGTACTCTTGTACCAGCACCTACAAGAACAATTTGACTGACAACATCCATAGTCAAGTGAGCAGTTTTCAATGCTTGTTCCACTGGTTTACCAACTCGCTCAAATAGGTCAATGAATAAATTTTCCATTTCTTCTCTTTTAACCAGGAGTTTGAAATCTTGTTCATCCAAAAGACCTTCCACTTGTGCATAATGCTCTGCATTTGCTGATAATACGTTTTTCACCCTACCAGCTTCCTTAAACAATTTGGCCATAGCTCTAGGATTTTTAAAGATATCATTCTTAGTTTTTTTCATTTCATTGAATTTAGTTGCTAGAAAATTTCTCAGGCGAATTTGCATTTCTAGACCCCCCAAAGTTCTATCAAATCCAACACCCAAAACTAAAGCTTGAGGGTGAGTTTCAACATAACCTTTTTCTTTAGTTTTAATTGTCTGATAGCTAATAAGTGTTGCAGTAGTTGATGAGGCACCCATATCATAAAATATTACATACTGAGAAGTTTCGTTGAATGTTTTGGATCGGAATATTCCATAATTCAATGCAACTGCAGTGTAATCATTTATTAATTGCAAAACTTTCAATCCAGCAAGTTCAGCAGCTTGAAGAAGAGCTTTCCTTTCAACTTGATTAAAAAATCCTGGTACTGTTAAAACACATTCTTTGATTGGCTGGTGAGCACTACTTTCAGCAAATTCCTTTGCTTTCACAAGTAATTGAGCTATAAGTTCCTCTGGACTATAAAACGTGTCTTCATCAAGTTTAAACTGTATTGTACCTCTTTCTGAATCTTCTAGGATATCATAGTATGGAAATCTTTCTTGATAAAGTTTTACCAGTGGATGGTTCACATTTTTACCCAGCAAGTCTAACAAGTAACTGAAAGCTAGTTTTGGGAAACGTATACCAACAGTTTGAGCATCTTCACCAAATAGTCTTGTATTATCTCTGAAACTGATCACTGCTGGAGTTTTTCGTTTCGATTCCTTATTTAGAGCTATTTCCATTGGAACGCCGGGTGATACTATGCCAACTTTCATCCATTCTGAACCCAAATCTACCGACATCACAGCTAAACCATTTATGTAAGTCACCTTCATGTAACATGCTAGCAAAAATGTAATAATAATTGAAAATTTCATGGTAACCTGAAAAAACAGTTAACAAATTGAGGTTATCCCTAATAATATACTTAACTGAAAGGTAAAACTTACTAAATTTCAAATAAATTGATTTGAATAATTTTCCTCCGTATTTTTTAAATTACCATTTACAGTGTTTATCACATCAATATTGAAATAATTCCTTCTAACTTAGCCTCATTCCTCTCTTAATAGTGAAGAAACGTCACTAACGTCAGTCAAACGAACAGGTGGCAGGTTAGAAACATTTTATTTATTCCAATTTAGTGGAGGTGGAGTGATTTTACTGGTTTAAACATCGAGGAGGCCACTACAATGATGAGGATTGGTTGGGTATCATAGAACAATTCAACAACGATGTAAGCCATAAAACACTTTTAACTCTGTCAGTCAATGAGTTGAAAAATGTAGGGAAATGTTGGTCAGTGTTGCCCGCAAACGACAAAAAATTCGTTACAGATGAACCAGCAAAAATTTAATATTTTCTATATGTTATCCAAAAGATATTACAAATTCTCATTTATTATTCGGGTGTAGTTTTTGAGAGAATAACATTTAAAATGTTAAAATACTACAAATATTTTAGGTATGGCCTACAAGAGCCAATGTGTCATAGAATATATTCGGGTATTATTGATCTTTCAGAAGGTATTTTTTTCAGGCAGTACCTGAAACTGGAAACAGATTTCGACCGAAAGGAAGGTGGTAGGTTGTTATAGAATTCAGCTATAGTATATGTAAATGACCTTTTGAATAGTTCTATGGAGTGTCTAACAACATGGATCAATTTGCGCCTGATGTTCACATTATGAACATCAGTTCGATAAGTTATTTTGTTATAGAGGTAGGGAGGTGTTCTATTGACAATGACTTTATGAAATAATGTCGATCTACAGAGAACTCTATCTTCGGATATCAAAGATAAATGGAGCTCCCAAAGGCGGCCATTTGGAAAGCCAAGCTTCAACATCGACCGCTGACAAGATTCGTATCCTCTGTCTTTCACTGTAAAGCAAATAGTTGAAAACCAGAGCCCAAATACAATGCACTTATGATTCAACACCAAACAGCGCAGTTTCGACCCGCTATATAGGTCTCTTCAGTGGTGCTGAGCTTGACCACACATGTATTGCTGGACTCAACTGTCGTTAAAGAATAAGAATAATACTGAGGAAATAAGGGCACCTCTCCTTACGAAGACGCCATCTATGGGATCAACAGAGAACTCAATCTTTGAATATCAAAGATAAACTAGGCTTCCCATACAGTCAGTTGCAAAGGCCAGCTTTGACATTGACTGCCGACGAGATTTGTCCTCCTTTTCTCCCCTGCAGCTTTTACTTCAAGGCAACTAGTTGTAAACCAGAGAGTTCTTTAAGAACAGTTGATTCCAGTAATGCATTTGTGGTTTAGTGTGGTGTCAAAGACGAATCCAGGGTTTTCTATGAGCCAGCCACAACGGATTGTAAGAAGATATAACTATACAAGTCCGAAGCAAAATATACTTACCTCTTTTTTTAACAGAGTAGTTTTAAACAACACTGATGAATATCACACAGATATCATGACAACAAACAATAGTAAGCACTTGTTGATTGTTGATAAATGAATGTCTTCTCTATCGTCAATATGTAGGAATAGCAGCTGAGTATGCTGAAGAAGTAATTGTTGGTTGCATAATCTAAGTATAAATAACAAACTGAAGTATACAATCCTGATCTTGGACTTTGAATAAGTTACTATACAGGGTGAGTCAGAATGAGACCGACAAACTCTGACTCAGCTCATTTTGAGATGAAAAGCTTTTATCAAGGTATGTCCTGAAATGTAGAGGGGACTCTTTGAGATACAGGGTGTCAAAAGTACGAAAAAAATTAGATTTATTTTTTTTTTCCCCAAAAACCCCGAAAAAAAAAAAAATCAAACTTGGTGAACTAATCAAGGTTTATCAACGTGATAATTTGAAGTGATAATTTTTAATTTTCGTAAGCCAGTGATGTAGTTATGATGGTATGATATGTTCTGAGAAGGGACATAACATCCTGTGTGCAATAATTACATGATGCAACTTTCTTATAACATATAGGAATAATTGTCAACCTCCCAAACATTTTTTAATGTTGGGAGTATTCATAACAAAGTACAGGAAGTCAGAATGAGGCCGACAAATTTCGTTTTTTTATTCGTTTTATTATTTGAACGAATTTTCTTTGGACAACTGAATTGATAGAGCGTTCGACATAAGCGTTCGACATAACGTTCTGTGTCCAAAAGTGAAGATTTCTGAGATAATTGAGAAAAACTAAAGATATGTCCTGAGTATCAACGTAATTTCCTATGTACAATGATCGCATAATGCTAATGTCCTACAACATATTGGAATATTTGTCAACTCTCAGAACATTTTTCAATGTAGGCAGAATCAAAAACAATTTGGGTGAGTCAGAATGAGGCCGACAAATCCATTTTTTCGTTCGTTATATTATTTGATCGAATCGATGACATGCATTCACTGATATGTTACCATACTTTCTTGCATATGATCGTTTTGACATATCTGCTGAAAAAAAAGCCCAACTTTAAATTCATAATACTCCAATCAAATACCTAAGAGTTTAGATCTGAACCAATATTTGAGGAAAACTGAAGATAAATACTCTTGATTTGTTGAATTTTATGTTGGAGTATCATTTTTAGAGCCTTTTCCAACTAGTATATCGAGGAAAATTAATCCATTCAGCATGTGGTTTCCAAGAAGTACAAGAATAAAACATTTGTATATTTTTTATGCATTGATCAATGACATTCAAACTAGTCTGGAAGTTTCGACATTGCAATTAGTTATCACGAATTGGAAGAAAAAAATTTAGGAACATTACAGTCGATTGATTTAGTGAACATCCTCAGAAGCTAAAAGCTGAAGCTAATAGACCGTCATTATTCCCGGTAGAAACAGTTTGTTTCTATCAACTCTGTATATTGCAGCAAAACACATGTCAAATTGCTCCACATTGTTTAGTTAAAAAAAAATTGTATCTACCTCTTGAACTATAAAAAAAAACAGAAAATAGATACAACAGGGTTCATTTTTGTGTGTCGGTGGAAAACTCCTTTTTCCATTTTCGACAATTACTTTATAGTAAGATAAAGTAGGAAACTTTCACTTTTTCGCTAAAGCAGAAAAATGAACAGTATTTCACATCTTTTTTTAAGTAGATACAAGACGTACATTTTAATGTTTTAGTTAAAAACACTATTTCCTGTTATTATTATAATGAAGTGAAAAATGGTATTTAAAAAAGTATGAAAAGTATTTGTTTCTGTGAAAAGTTTCAATTCCTTAAAATGGTTCCTATATTTCACAAAATGTAAAATGTAGGAACAATTGTTATATCGCAGAAAAATTAATTTTATATTCTTTCAAATGGTGTGAACAATATGCAGTATTCTATTTGAAGTTCTAGACTTGACCAAATTTTCTGTTTAACTGAAACAGGTTATTAATTGTTTTTTTCACTAGAAATATAAGTTCAAACGAACTGTATCTTCGTTTCAAATTTCTTACCCCAGTTACAATTGAATGGCAAGCCGTACAATGATTCCGTTGCCACCCGGTATTATGGTCTTTAGCTTTTACTGTGGTATTATATTATATTAACCTTTCACCACTCTCATCATTTTTTCCACCTTCGTCACTCGCTCAGTAAGTTCTACGCAACCGTATT